AACAAATAAAATCCTAGGATAATTATTACCGTTTCACTATTTAAAATCCATTTGAATCGCAATCCGCGGCCTGATCTAAAATTATTGTCATTGTAAACTTGCAATTTCCTGAACATTCATGCATGCAGGAGGATATTGGAATTTAAAAAACAAATAAAGTGCTAGGATAATTATCCCCAAGGTAAATAGCGGTGATCCGAGTCGTGGGTCGGATGAGAGAAATGTCAGGTACCTGTCATCGCCCACATGAATCCGTTAAGGTGAGCGCACCTAAGCCAGGTAAGGGAGCTGTTTTACAGACAGTCCAACGAGCCCCGCGGCGTAAAGTGGTATTCCCAGTGATCAATATCCTGCGAGAGGGGCAATAGAACGTGAACGAAGGCGTTCATGCGACGGCGGCATCAGCCGGCTATTAATTGGTTTACTCCGCAATGTGTCATCCCTTAATTAATACCCTCGAGGACCAACAAAGGCGCGTTGTTGCCGACTTAATACGATGAGTCACGTGCGGACAGTCTTATAGCATTGCCAACGAATACACAGACTTCGCAACTTTCCCTCGAATACCACCCCCATTCGATCCAATTATCCTTTTTTTCCTGTCAGCCCCTGAAACACCACCTCTTCTTCTCCGAGAAGAATTTCCAAGTTTAATCAGCTGGCTCTTCAAATGATTTGTAATATTTTTCTTTCTGAGATTACAGGTCTACACACCTTGCTCCGAAGGAAAGATCATGCTAATCCTATGATTTCTGACTACATAGAAAATATAATTCCCCTTGATAACAAAGAATTGGAGTGTGAAATAAATCCTCGGTAACTGTAGCTGAAGTTTACACATGGGAAACTCTGCTAATCCTAATATTTGCATTTGTTATGAGTACTTAACCAATCAATCCTCCTCTCTTGTCCACCAAGAAGAATTTTACGCTGTAAGTTTATCCTTCCTCTTCAAGTAATTTCTAACACTTTTCTTTTTCAGACCGCAGTTTTACACACCTTTCAAGGGAAACTATGCTAATCCAATGATCTCTAACTGCCTAGAAAATATAAATCACCTCAATAATCAAGAATTAAAAAGGGCAAAGAATTTCTTTGTAACAGTAGTAGCAGATACATATAGGAAACTGTACTAATCCGGAAATTTGCATTTGTTAGGGGGCCAATGGATGCAAAATAATTCGCATCTTCGAATCTGCTCTCGGTTTCCCCGATTTGCATTTAAATGCAGTCGCTAAGGGAACGCGAATTCATATCAACGATGTTGTATTACTACGATGTTCGTTTTCCGTTCGATTTCCAATATTTTCTATGCGATGCAGAATTCCCATAAGTTTCCGAGAGGGAAGCAACCATTTCATTAACCATGGGAATCACGTTCCAAATTAATGGGGCAATGCGAAGGACGTTTTCCACGAGAATTATGAGTAGAGAGCTCGATTCAAGTTCGAAAACTCGAAAGCTCGTTCGTTTGGGATATTCTGACCGCAAAATATCGATAAACTGATGCCTTTTCAACGATACTGCTGGAGAAAACACCGTCGAACTTTTGAGGTTATTAAGGATAGAATGTCTGGCCATGGCCAAATAATTCTACTGCGAGATTTGAGACGAGTATTATGCGCTGTCAGCTGAACTGCGGATCTTCATACAAATATGGATCTCTTTGAGTTATTATACTTTCGCATTGTGCTCGTGATCAGAATCCTTGTATTCCTAATATTAATAGCTCCTCTAGTTTAGAAATAATTCCTCTACTTATAAATAGGCCCTGATTGTTTAATCAAGAAATAGCAATGCTGGTGATGAAGAATACCTGCAATTAACAGAAATTATATAATTGCTCATAGTGATATTTTAGAATTAAATTAAATTTTTTCTGGGAGAGTGTGAATTTTTTACAATTAATTAAAATTTTTCAGAGGCACCTGCTCGTGGATTTTACATTTCCCATTTAATTAAGCGGAGGTTTGCTTTTTTGTGACGAGTCGACACGTTCAAGCCCCTGGGAGCGGATTAAAACGGTGTGACTAATTAATTGGTTCGTTACACGGCGTCTTTGATCTGTTTACATTAATGCCTCCGCGAAGAAGACGCGGTTTTGAGAGTTTGGAAAGTCGGTTACAATTTCAACTGCTATTTTCATCGACTATTCTAAATTGATGTTTCATGAAATCTTGAATAATTCATCATTTTTGGCGGATCTCGAAAGCGCGGCTCCGCCAAACCCCATAACCGCATTGTAACTAATTCTCCTTGTGACGAGAAGAATTTAATTAAAGGGAATTTCCCTTTGAAATGATTTAAAACAATATATTTCATCTTCCAATCACACGAAATAGAAATTTTCAAGAAATCTTGGAAATAGAATGTCCGTTACCCGCAAGAGAAGCACCACAGAATTGCTTTTAATTAATAAAAATTGTAGAGATTTCACGGAGCCTTTTGCCGAGGAAATTCTATCATCTTCGTGATCTTAATAAAAGCAAACGAGCCTGTTATGATAACATCCTTCTGCCACCCTTGCTGTCACAGGAACTGAATGAGGATTCATCTGATGGCGTGATTAAAAAGGATTCTATATAAAAATCTTTCTCTTTCTGACAGCAATATTTTCTTGATAGATTTTACATTGGATTACACTGTCCACAATTAGTTTCATAAATTCCTCAACGAGTCTCCTAGAATATATATGTAGATAAAAGTATGCAGGCAATGATGTATACATATAATAATTGGATTAAAAAAATTATTACGTTCTTAATTTTATAATTTTCTCAATGAAATTAACAGAGTACATTGACTAAATGGTATAGTTTAATATGTACATAATAAATTCTTTATAAAAAATTATTTTCCTCCCAGAAAAATTTTTAGAGTTTCTCCGGCAGCTTAAGATCCTATAATAGGGTTCCTCGTTACTCTGAGAACAAAGCACATCGATACAAAAGCCTTTGGAAGACTCGCAAACATCAAACCTCCCGTAGAGTAACTACGCTAACAAAAGTCTCAGCGTCAAAAGTTCTATCATCCATGGCCGTTCGAGTTACCACTTGCAAGTAGTTGTTTATTTGAAGAAATATCGTGTGTCAGCGCATTAACATCTGCTGCTCGTTTAGTTAGGCAAAAAAATCCGTCAACACGGTAAGCCGTTCTGACCAGCGATTAGACGCGAATGGCCTCACCACTGGTGCGTGTTTATTTATAAAAGTATTAGCGGCACGCGATCCCTAGAGCCGCCAGTTATGATAGTGTTTTATCTCGGGCCTACCGCGGACGATTCAAGAGGAGCATTAAATCTGCTCGAAGCGGTTCAGACGAATTTTCAACGTTGACCTTAATAAACGCCACCGCGACGCCCACCTAGCCGACATTTTCACGAATTTATTTACAAGTCGCTGGACTCTATTTTTTTTATCTTTTCCGCCGAGCATCCGACTGTGTACCAGTCGCCTTGAGACTTTTCGCGAAGCATAAAAACTGCATTTTCGACGAATGCAATGACCAAATTGTTGCCGGGAATCCAACCACGCTGTTTCTCGCCAGAAATCTTATTTTTCTCACCGAGTCGTCACTATTAATCATGCTAGGCTGCGGATTTTTATGCACTTGCAGTTTCTAAATGCTTTAAAATTGCAAAGAAATTTTAATTGAAAAAGTAAAGGAGATTAAAAATTAATTTCATTTTTGCAACTTAATTTTGCTAAGTAACTAGATAAAAGTTAAGTATGTACATAGCCTCCTAATAATGCTGCAGATCTTAAAGTACTGGCAGTCCTTAAAAAGCTTTAATTACAAGGAAATATTTATTGAAAAATTAATAAGATTAAATATTATTTACTGCATGAACATTTTTTCTCTTATTTTATTTTTCTTAGCAGCTAACTAAGGAGCTAAGTGCGCATAAAGACTCGCAACCACCTAACAATATTTTCCAGCGCACCAGCATACTTATAAACCACTTTGCAGAAGCAGTGTCGTCTTCGAGTTTCAAAAATTTATAACAGCGTTATCTGCTTTCTATTCCTACAGAGTTACGTCCATCGCGCTCCAGCCGTTATCTCCGGATGATAAATCACAAGAATAAGATCAAGTCAGGTCTATGAAATTGCGTCCGAGTCGAGAGAGCTAACTATCGGTTTTCCTAGCTGGGAAAATAAGGTGTGCATCCGCGTCTTTTATCTGGTTGGGTGCGTCTCAGATTGTCTACCACTTCAGTAACGAATTCCTAAAATGAGACTAGAGTCAATGTCTAAATTGGAAGGTTGGACTTCGTTGGACTCCCTCATCAGACTATCTACCCTCAAATGCTTGGGCTGACCCAGGTATCTCTCTAGCAACCGAATCTTCTGCTAAAATCTTATCTCTGCAGGAACACCGACGAACGAATTTCCCTCGGATTTTTAAACTGAAATAAACCGCGGAATTACTGAGATAAGTATCTAATATCCTATACACATCTCTTATAAATTGCTCATGCTACATAAATGGAGTGCAGCTGGAAATGCATAGTAAATTCCACATAATTGCGAAAACGGCGAAGCGTTCTGAGCCGTATACGGTCATGTACATTTTTAAGCAATTTTGCTCCCATAAAACCATATTGAACGCAGTCCGAGGAAAGCTTCAATCGTCTGTATATCTCCTGTATCTGATAGATAGTAATTCCTACTTACTTATCTTATGGCTTTCTTTTAATTTATATGTGATAAAGATAGTATATATATATAACTAACTCTTAAGTATTATTTGTCACAACAGTAAAATAGAAAAAAAAAGTGAATTGTGCTGAGGCATAACATTTTTTTTCTGCTAAAAAGAAAGTGCACAATACTTAGAATGTGAAATAATGTATTCTAGTATCATTTAAAAATATATGATTCACAACCAAGGATTTATTTTGACAAATCTTTCCCAGAGCAAACTCCTGAAAATCTTGGAAGACATATATTTGCATGAACATCCTCAATCCAATTTAACAAATCTAGGTGAGTACTCACAAGATCCCCATGAAAAAGGAATAGCAGCTCGTGCAGAAGCCCAAGATGATCTTCTGTTAGTTGTGCAGTCGTCGCAAAGCTCTCATCAGATCGGGGTTGAAGCCGCTTTCAATATCGTCAATTGATCACCGTTTGTGAGTGCCAGAGCTTTTAAGCATTGAAGACTCGCAGTTTCAAAGAGCATTGGACCGAAAGAGCGTCGTGACACCTGTTTACACGGTCACAGAGCGCCAGCCGACGTTTCGCTCGTAAAGAGACAGCCAGAGGTTTCTGTCGCCTTTGCTTTTCGCCGTATCGTAAACGGACAATTTCTGCGAAAACAGTAACGATTCTAGACCCTCGATCACTGTCTATTTATGCGACAATTTTCCTTGAACGATTTACCAGCCGCTTCGATAGTTGATCAGCTAGGTGATTATTTGAGATCTGTAAGAGCTCGTGTCCGTTATCTGAGGGATTAGAAACTGCTCCAGATGTTCTGACGAACTAAGGAAATTATAATGTAATCCCCAGACGGTGATGGTTCAATGAGATTTCAGGAGGTAGCTTGTAAACTAGTTGCTTGCAAGCCTTGACTGTGTGATCCTAGCTTCAGGACCTAGTAGAACCTTTAATTAATTGCTCGATGACAAAGAGCAGAGGGTGTAGCTATCTGATCCGACATCCATACCTTGGATCCTTGATGTAAACAACGCTGATTGGGTTCTTATAGTCATTCGAGGTACTCGAAGCTCATTTAACTGACCACTTTGGCCTCAGTAGCCTTCATCAGATCCTCGCGCCGATCCAGCACTTCTCACAAACACAACACTCAACTCGGCTGCAAGCAGGCTACATGCAATCAAGATTCTAACTAGTTAAAGAGTCTTAAATTAGTCTCGAAAAGTCTAATTCACCCACTCGAGGAATATTCGTTTCGGTTCATCGCTGATCACTGTAGAATAAAACTGTCCCTTGTATTCCCATTGGGATTCTTATCTGTAGTCCAGTTCTAGCAAAAACACAGAAGTCTCTGATAGAATCCGAGTTCACTGATCATCACTTGGTCGCTAGTATCACAGCCACCTGCTGAACCCCAGAATTAATTCAGAGTAAATGACGAGAGAGTTCGTACTGGAGGTCCTTCGGCCATGATCTGGACTGAGTTAGGACCAGCGATTAGCAGCCAGATGAGATGTAACGCGGTGTAATCGGGACTCGAGAAGAAACTAGTCTACACGTCCAACGCCGGGCGCCGTTTAAGCGCGACTGCCTTGCTGCGGTGCTCTATATCGCATGATCTCACGCATGTCCGATTTCCGAGTTCACCTGCCCCCACCCCCCTAGCCGCGCGGCGCCGCGCGCCCCGTCCTCTTCCTGCGACGCCTCTCACTCGCCAACTGTTGCTTTCCGCGGATGATCGCACGGGATGAAAAATATCCGGCACGACAGTGCAATAAAGAATCCTTTGCATCCACAACACGCAAACATTAAGACCTTAACCATTCTTCTATATGAAAACGGTTTTCCCTGCGTTACTCAATTCAAGAAACAAAATTAATGCTTCTGTTCGCACATACCAATTATTCAGGAGCAAAATAATTTTATATATGATCCCATTTGTTTCTCAAATCCTCCTCTTATAGCTTAAAGCTCGTTTGTATCTTATCGCTGTTTTCCAACGTCCTCACTGCACAATAAAGGATCCCATGCATCTGCAACACATAAACGTTAAGACCCTGTTCATTCATTCAAATTATTCTTCATTTGTCAGTCGACAGAAGGAACAAAATACTTGCTTGCTGGTACAAATTAGTTGTTCAGGACTTTAAATAATTTTGAACATTTTAAGCCTAGTTTGAGTCTCCTATCACAGTTTTTTGACTGTTTAGAATTTTCTGTGACATATATATACAACGCCGTAGATTCCTAGAATACATTAATTATCATGACTGGAGCGAAAGCAGATATGTAGAAGACGCGGTTTCAACTGATACGTAGACGATTTCGAGATTCATGGTGCAGTGAATCGGGTACAGATGAATGATTTATGAAGCCAACGAAACGAAATATGTGAAGGTAATTCCCTGACGTAGAGCTACAATTTCCCGTGATGAGGCACTAATAGTCGGAAAACACTCTGTTACTAATAATACACTTGCTAGTGAATAGTTGAATTTGTCACGAATGCAACCAATCAGAATTTTCGCCGTATCTTATGATCGTCGGAAAAAAATACATATGATATTACCCGCACATGGATCTTGCACGAGTCTGAAATAATAAATGAACTTTTTGGAATTGTAGAAAGAATGTCTATCTGATTCTACAATTATTTTCAATAGCGGTTTAGAGAACTTTCAGATCCTCTACAATTAAGTATCGAACAGTGATAACGAAAGATGATTATTATTGCTGATTGCGCCGGATAAAGGGGGGCTGAAAGGATACATTAGGGAAATTTACTTTGAACAGATTCGGGCCTCTCGAAATACGAGAGAGCACGTGCAAGTATTTAGTGATCAATGATAACGATATTAACGAGGATCGACGATAACGGTGATAATGGACTCGCGAGCTTTGATTGCTCTTTTTATCGTGAGTGTCACTGCCAGAAGGTCGAGCCTTCCTGCGGTCTACCCTCTACGATTTCAGACATTCGTACGTTCTACAATTCCTGACTAATAAAATACCGTTTTACAATTTAAAAGAGCATAAAACGTCCTAGTGTGTGATCTCGAGTGAGTCGCTGTTCCCATGCAATTCCTATGATTTGTGTAAGGTGTCACGCACTTTTTAAATTGCTATTTGTCCGTGTTAGTGCCTCAATCACGCGCGGACATTGTTTGCTCGCGTACCAGGACGAAAAAGAGAGAAAGAAGAATCAGCAGAGAAGTTGCGTCGAATAACAAATTCCATTCGCTCGAAATGTGCTAAGTGGAAGATCAAACGGGCTGGACTCGAATATTCAGTTTCATACATCAATGAAGTTTATCCGCGAGACTTCCAGTAACTGAAACCCTGCGGCTTTTCGAATTTACGGAGCTAACTCCTGCTGGCCAAACGATGAGCAAACATTTGGCACGCTTTTCAATATCGCCATATCATTTAGTACTTCCTAAAAGATATAAAAACTGTCAATAGAGATGTACAGAATAGTATGTATTAGTAGAAGACAGATAAATAAATGAAATGAAATAAATAAATGAAAAATGTTCATATAAACTTGTGTCCGAAAATGCTTTGTTGAAAAGATATAATCGTTCAAAATTTTCGTAACCGTTGGTTTATAAAAATATAGTAAAAACAGAGGATCAATTTTGGGAATTTACTCCAAGTGCATTTATTATTATTTCCAATACAGCTAGAATATTTGAAAGAGTTCAACAATCACTAATTTGACGAATGAATTTTCGAACATTACTTATAATTGCTACAACAAATCATAAATATCCTTGAAAGTTTATATTTTTTCAACAAAGTATTTTCGTACATAAGTTTATATGAATCTTTTTCATGCCAACCTTTCTAGACACCCCCTGTATGTCTTGATAAAGAAAATTTTAAATATTTGCATACCTTTAGACTATCTACAAGAAACAATTAAATATTTCACCAAATATTGGCGTGACACTAAATCACCATATCATTTAATTCTTCCTAAAAAAATATAGAGACTGTTAGATTTTATAAATGAAGTCATATCTTGATATAAAACATTTAAAATGTTTTTATACCTACAATTAAATATTGTCCTTGTAATAAATTTGTTTGATGATCTTAATGGCGATGATAAAGGTCCATTAATTAGAAAGCAATTATCCCTTACAGGGTTAAGTTTCTTATTGGTAAGAGTACTACATATTTGTCCTTTAAAGCCATCGTCGCACCCTTAGCTTGTATATATACAAAGCCGACAGCGACTAATTAATCTCGTAATTGAACCACGCATATATCAGTTCAACGATAACCATCCGCGTAATCCAGTTACCTTACTACATCTCTATCTGTAATCTGTGGCGACATTATCGTCCGCATCGATTGTTATCAATTCGTTTGCTGATAATCGTTCACTGAGTCGAACTGCGCAGTTCCAAGTACCCTATCGCTGCACAGTGTTCTGGAAACCGGATTTCGTGGCTACAACGACAAACATCTTTATATCAATTGATTTTCCAAACAACAAATTTCATTACTATAAACAGTATTAATTTTAGATTATATAATTGCCTACATATCTTCATGGGAATCGTTAGGAGCTGTCAGCCTAACTGATTTTATTGAATCTCTTACAAAACTTGCACAATATGGCATCTGAAATTTGCATAGTACTATTTCAACAATTGTTGGCGCATCCACATGTTTTTTTTTCATTTTCAAAAATTTTGTAAATAACCGTCTAAATTAATATCAATTTTAGGTTGATAGAAAATGGACACAAAATTACTTACTACAGAATTAAATAATTGAAGCATAACAAAATACACTATAACTTATAGTAGAAACTTGTTTTAAAGCTAGAAACGTTTTCTACTAAGACTTTTACCTTTAGCAAGTATAAAGATAGAGAAATGTACTTTGACCTCGAAAAACCACTTTCCGGATTCACTATGATCTGATAAAGCTATCGTAGATCACTAGTAATGCTGTTGTCTGGTACTTGATAATTGTTTCCTGACAATATATTTGTGTTATTGTTAATAAATATGACAAGTGCAATAAGAGCCACGATAAGAGCAGAAAAATATTGTGTAAAAATACTATCTTGAATGTGGCTTATAATTAATAACTGAGAATGCAAAAAGTGAGACTATTTGAGAATGCCAATAAAAACTGGAAATCAAGTACGATTAGTTTAATAATAATAATTAATTTTAACTGAATCAAGTTAATGAAATGAAATATTAAAAAGATCGTATAGCAGAGTAGTGACCGAAATAATAATTAAATGGCAACAGCATGCTTGTAAAACGGTATTTAATTCAAGGCCTGGACACTTTCGCTCTCTACTATGAATTAAACATGGAGCGTGACACCTTGTTCCCAAACGGGAGACCATAGAATCAGTGTGGCAGACAATAATAGTCTCGACGAAACGAAACCTCACCACACAATCCATTTTTACACCTTTCACAGTCTGCATTCGATTTAATTATTCCAAAACATGCATTCTTCTCTGAATACTTCACCATAAATTGCTGGATCCTCATCTTGATACCCTACAACTAATATTAAATTAATAATGGGATGTACCAAGGATAGAAAAGGATAAACAATTTATAATAGTTCATATATTTCCAACATACTAAAAAATATTTTGAAAACTCCTACCTAAGAGTTACGCCAAAAGACTGCTCAAGCTTTACTAAGCTCTTTTCTAACAATTATATGTATAAATCTGCCTAGTATTCTTCACACTCACCCAACCTATACTAAAGTACAACAATCTCCTTATTAAAAATTTCTTCAAATATATCTAGTGAACATATATCATTTTAGAATTATTTTGAGAGTGCAGGTCACTATTTACTTGCCTATCTCTTCTCTACCTTCAGTGAGAGGTCAATGCTCTCAAGACACAGTGCGGCTAATTTGCTCAAGATCATTGTCCAATCAGGAACAATGGTATCGTCAGCCGCGATGATCTTCTTCGAAGAAACCTCTCTAACTCCATTCTCGTTCGCTGCTAATGCAAGACATTGTGAACTTAGCGCTCTCATCTTGCTAGCCCACTTTTCCTGTCACTAAGTAGCTCTCAGCTGAAACTTGAACACTCCTCTGACAAGGGGAAACTTTTTACAGTACTCGCGGCTACCTCTGGCAATATTATTCTAACATCGTTTGTCAAATCTCGTTGCAGAGTTGAAACCGAACTACGCCAATACCATTAATTAAAGTACCTGATACATTCCATCCTCCATACCTTTTCATGCACACAGCTCTGTGCACGATCTTCTACACACACTCTCTACCTCAAGAGAATTCGATTTTTAGATAACGCGAGATCAATACAAATACAGAACTATTTGCTTAGAGGGTAATCTCCCTACCTTCCTTGTTGATAAAGTAAATTAATCTCTATATTCTCTCAGGTTTATCTTTCTACTTAAATAAGTGAACCATATACCTCTATTAGTTCCGAGGAAAACAATAACAAATTCTGGCTAACTTCCCGAATGGGCTACACTTATCTTAGTCATTAAATGATTCTACTGGTAAGCGATACACTAATAAGGAATCTGTATCAATTAAAAAAATAATTATTACATAAATCTATATCGAGATGCTTATTTTTTAGAAAGTTTGCAAATGGTGTTCGAGAAACTGTAGATAGATTAATACATATTCCTAGAACACCAATAAGTCCGCGAAATCTCGAATTTCATTCTGCCCCACGAGAACGTTAAATATGTCCCTCATGGTGAGATGATGAATCGTCTCATTAACTCTTCCGGCTATGTAATCCTGGATGCCCGGAAGTATGTCTGGTTTAATAATGTCCACCACCTTCGGCGTAAGCTGCTGGAACACCTGCAGACAAAGGGGCACTATGTCAATTAACCTGTGCAATATTTGTTTCATCAGAATAAGTTGCGTTCAAAGAAAAAATTTTGATAATTCAGTTTTTCATTATTTAAATTAAAGAATACATATTTAATTTTGCATTAAAAAAAGACAAATTCCCAAAAGATAGTTGATGAAAGTGGATCAAATGCATTTCTCCCTGACTTAATAACATGCCTTGCTCATGATTCTGGAGAGCTCTTCATCCCCCATAAAATTCTCCAGCCGGACATCGAGGGAATCTAGATTGAAGTCAAGGTCAAAGGTTTTTAGGTACATGCCCCTGTTGTATCCCAACATAGTGTTCACATAAATCTGAAAGTCGTAGACATCGGCATTGAATGGGCCATCCCCGAATAGGTTGAGCATGTTCCCAACGACGCCGGATATATTATAAAGGCCTTCCACGAACACATGTGGAATGGAAACGTTGGCGGTGATTGTAGGTCCTAATAGGGAAAGCTTTGCCTTGTTGATTACAAACGTGGAGAGATTGTGCAGTACCAGATTCTCGATCACCAGAGTCACGCTAAAAAGTTCAAATTGATCAGAAGAAGGTATGTGTTTGGTTTGAGGAGCTGAAAGCCGATTAAGAAGAGAAGGTAAGGTGAATGACCGATGATTTGGTGGTCGGTGAACGATAGAAGTATCTTGCACTTACTTCCCTATCTCTGGATTATCAATGTCTATATCAATCTCGTCGAGTTGAAGCGGTTCCAGTGGTGGAATTCCGAGCTCCGGTATACCGTAGCGCATCCGACCGCGAAACTTTTCCAGGAATCTCCTCAGTTTGAACTCGAGCCCCTTGGATGTTGCGCTGTCAACTGTTCTTTCGCTGATTAGTGCATGTTATAAAAGAGAACGCGGGGTATCATCGTGCCTTAGTTACTTACTAATGCCGGTGGTCGCTCTGGTAGCATTGATTAATAGGTTCCTCGGCTTCTCCACCGCGCTACTGACTGAAAAAACAAGATACACTAAGTTCAGTAGTTATTCCCGTTGAAGTTCTCCTAGTCACGTTCGCAATTGCCTTTAGATAAAGTGATGCGGCAAACAACTGGCTAGGGAGCGGACCTGATAAGGCTTACATCGTTGTAAATTGAACGAGAGTCACGGAGACACTTGGTGCACCAAGAAGCCCGCTGATATATCGCTAACTATATTATAGATAAATATCGACTACGTGAAATTAAATATTCAGTCTAAACTGAACAGGTTTTGCTTGAAACATTTTTCTAAATTCTGCACGCATCGGTTTGTACTGAGAATGCTTGTTCAGTGACGAGCACCTGACGTGTATTATAATGAGTTACCATGGATATTACAATTTCTCCAACATGCACAGTATTACTGAATTTAGAGAAGGCTGTGTGAACACATTTCATAATCTCCTCTACAATTCTAAACGCAAATCAAATATTTACTATATCTAGTAATTTCGATATAACAATTTCTTTAAATTAATGACGAATTCATTAGTGCACCTAATATCTTTTTAATTTCACATCAAGGCTTATCTATTCTAATTAATTGAATCATCTTCTGCATTCAAACTTCTGTTTAACCCGTTCATAGTATTAAAAGTCAGGTTTCACACAGTTGAATGAGAACAATGTCCCACAAAAATAAAATAAAAAATATAATAACAATATACAGTGGCGGTAATTAAATAAAATATCGCCTACCGACACTGTACATTAAAAAGTAATATAAGAAGCGCGTTAATAAGCAGTCAGTGAGAAAGTATCGAAATTAATGACGCCGATAACGCTTGGTGATTAAAATTATTTCACCGGAATCTATTCAATATCAGTCTTCAACGGTCTACTCAGCAACGCCATGCAGATATTCATTCATTCCTAATCTAAAACTACACGAGTGATTAATCTCATTCATGAACAGGTTCCGAAATGTATGGCCTCCGGAATGCGTTTGAGGCGGTTCCAAGGGAGCGATGGTATAAAAGACTGAAGGCTTGGAGGAGGGATTTAATCCCATACTGCATTATCTAACGGGGAGTGCATGACTCCTCTTCTTCTGAAGAGAGAAAAATATTTCGAAAACGAACCCGAGCGTCATCACTCCGCAGGGGCCATAATCTAACTCATGGGTTATAACGGATTTACATAAAAACGATCAATTTCACCACCAAGCCGAGCCCTTTCTTCGCAATCGGTTACATGAAATAGCGTATGTGTTAGCGTCGTCGTCTGTCAGCGAATTGGCGTTAACGTGTGCGATACTGAAGAGTAAAAACGGCCACCGAGATTGTCCGTCGTTTTCGCAATCCTTTGGCCGATTTAGGAAACATAGTTATTCCATCCGACAGACCTATTAGCGGGCCGCAAGTTTTACAATGCAGTGTCGCGATTAGAAGCGATGCCATAAGCCTGGAAGAGATCTAAAAGCTCTCGCGTGTACCTGAGACTTTCGAACATGATTCCGTCAAACTGTTTCTCGTTACATCAGATCTCATTATAATTCGGTTTAATGAATTCTGGGCCAAGGGAACCTCGCGCACGGTTGGTCAACTGACCTGACGTACTAGGTCATTCCATAAGTAGTTGGCATAAATAGATATCGTTCCAGTTAGACCGTTTTGGTCACGAACCTAATTATTCATACATAATCACATGTTACGTTTACGTAATAATTAATTTCCTTTAAATTTTAATAAACGACTTTACAAAATTTACAGAGAAACAATTAAATTTCAATAGCAGCTGTACTAAGTAAAATATGTTGAAGTGAATCAATGCTAATTTCTATGATTTAGTTTTAAGAGAATATGATTTTAAAAAAGTCTGCTATTGTATAATAGTTTTTGGATTGTCCCGCAACCTTTGGCGCAGAGATGGACAATACGGTTTTGTAAGCTACTGATGGTGAACAGAGATCACTTGTAGCGGAACCAGTTTGAAAACCCTTTGATTNATATTTACTATATCTAGTAATTTCGATATAACAATTTCTTTAAATTAATGACGAATTCATTAGTGCACCTAATATCTTTTTAATTTCACATCAAGGCTTATCTATTCTAATTAATTGAATCATCTTCTGCATTCAAACTTCTGTTTAACCCGTTCATAGTATTAAAAGTCAGGTTTCACACAGTTGAATGAGAACAATGTCCCACAAAAATAAAATAAAAAATATAATAACAATATACAGTGGCGGTAATTAAATAAAATATCGCCTACCGACACTGTACATTAAAAAGTAATATAAGAAGCGCGTTAATAAGCAGTCAGTGAGAAAGTATCGAAATTAATGACGCCGATAACGCTTGGTGATTAAAATTATTTCACCGGAATCTATTCAATATCAGTCTTCAACGGTCTACTCAGCAACGCCATGCAGATATTCATTCATTCCTAATCTAAAACTACACGAGTGATTAATCTCATTCATGAACAGGTTCCGAAATGTATGGCCTCCGGAATGCGTTTGAGGCGGTTCCAAGGGAGCGATGGTATAAAAGACTGAAGGCTTGGAGGAGGGATTTAATCCCATACTGCATTATCTAACGGGGAGTGCATGACTCCTCTTCTTCTGAAGAGAGAAAAATATTTCGAAAACGAACCCGAGCGTCATCACTCCGCAGGGGCCATAATCTAACTCATGGGTTATAACGGATTTACATAAAAACGATCAATTTCACCACCAAGCCGAGCCCTTTCTTCGCAATCGGTTACATGAAATAGCGTATGTGTTAGCGTCGTCGTCTGTCAGCGAATTGGCGTTAACGTGTGCGATACTGAAGAGTAAAAACGGCCACCGAGATTGTCCGTCGTTTTCGCAATCCTTTGGCCGATTTAGGAAACATAGTTATTCCATCCGACAGACCTATTAGCGGGCCGCAAGTTTTACAATGCAGTGTCGCGATTAGAAGCGATGCCATAAGCCTGGAAGAGATCTAAAAGCTCTCGCGTGTACCTGAGACTTTCGAACATGATTCCGTCAAACTGTTTCTCGTTACATCAGATCTCATTATAATTCGGTTTAATGAATTCTGGGCCAAGGGAACCTCGCGCACGGTTGGTCAACTGACCTGACGTACTAGGTCATTCCATAAGTAGTTGGCATAAATAGATATCGTTCCAGTTAGACCGTTTTGGTCACGAACCTAATTATTCATACATAATCACATGTTACGTTTACGTAATAATTAATTTCCTTTAAATTTTAATAAACGACTTTACAAAATTTACAGAGAAACAATTAAATTTCAATAGCAGCTGTACTAAGTAAAATATGTTGAAGTGAATCAATGCTAATTTCTATGATTTAGTTTTAAGAGAATATGATTTTAAAAAAGTCTGCTATTGTATAATAGTTTTTGGATTGTCCCGCAACCTTTGGCGCAGAGATGGACAATACGGTTTTGTAAGCTACTGATGGTGAACAGAGATCACTTGTAGCGGAACCAGTTTGAAAACCCTTTGATTTCTAGGCTTGGCACGAACAAACTCTCACATACTGTAATCCGAGGCAGTGTCCGTCACACGGTGTATCAGTTCTGTTTGTCGTCGCATGATTCCAGTCACTGCAACAAACGATTAAACCTACAATTTCCTCTGGAATAACGACCAGCACATGCTGCGCCGTTCTGTAATAGAGAATCTGTGCCAGTGGCCATCGAAATCCGATCGAGTTTTTCGCAGGAAGTTGGACCATCCGGTGACAGTCTATTCGAGGTGCAATAATTGCGGCAAACCGACACATGAACGATTAACATAATTATAGAAATTTGAAAAATAATAACGATATCGCTCGACGAGCCGGAACGTATCATGCCACGTTCGTTGTTAAGAAATTGAGCTCCTTATTACCGTTGCAGTGGTATTATTCAGAATATGTATACGTATGCTAGACAGAAAACATTCATTACGTGTGCATTTATTAGTTCATAACTTTTGCATTTAGTAATTGTCAATTTTCGTTCATTGGAAAACTTTGAATGCACATGTAACAATAGTTTCGCTTAAACCATGTGCATGGTTTGCTTGTGAAAGATTCATAAATATCATCTGTGCGTGCTTTTTCCGGCACTCTGTCTCGACGGCGTAGCCCATTAACTTCAATTCATTCAAATCCTCGCGTTCTTTGCATAACCAAATTGGATGTAAACAAATCAAAGTTGTCACGATAAACTGTATCGCTTGAAAAATTATCCAACTGATTGATGGCAATTCCAATTATTTCGAAAACAAATTCAAATCAAAAAGATTTAGAAAATTGGATCGGATGAGTGCTTGATCTATATGTATTACTACACTATGAGGAAGAACAGTATTACCGAATAGTGATCGTATGAAAAAGATAAAAATAAAGATCACATGGATCTGAATAGAACGTTAAAATCTAACGCTAAAACACTTAATAAAGAATTTCTAGGGACAGTCTAAATTATCGTTCTAGAGTAGATTACAGGTTTATGGGCTATTCGTCTAAACCGGATAATTTATATTACCATTTTCGTGACGCGCTTTCGCTGAGCAACCGAATTAATTGCCGACCGCTGACAGTGACCGCGCGAGCAATGCGGAATTGCCTCGCATGATGCAGCGAAACCTTTCAAGGAACGCGAACAACAATTTCCTCAGAAAGTCGGCAGCAGGGCACATACGACGCACACAGACAGAGCACATATCCAGATTCGCGTAACATGTTCAAAAGGCGTAACAATGAGAGCATAATGAAGCAATTCCTGTCGTGCTTCCGATGAGAAAATCACGGGAACGCGTACAATAGACTGATGCTTCAAGAGATGACAAAAAAGATTATTATGTGCGAGCTAACTTTTTGTTTCGGTACGCGATTCACGCTTCTTTAACGCAGCCAGCGATTCCCTTGATAAAATTGATCTGATTAAAACATGACGGTCTTTTGCGAGAGCAATTATGTAATTTATCTGTGACGGTAGTCTTTTCTAAGCAATCGATGGATATATTATTTTAATTTAAATTCTGCTCGTCAAGAAACTAAGTAATTAAATGACCGGTATTTCGGAGAAGACGTCTTTTCCTGCTCGGAACATTTACATTATGCGTATGAGTAATAAGCGTGCATATAAAAACGAACCTTGACTTCACCGCGACATATTGAGAATTGCAAGGTGTGCACATGTAAAACGTAAAAATATTTCTTCTCTGCTAGTTTTCAGATTCAAATGCAATCTTGTACTTCAAGGCTGCGCGCCGCAATTAAGAAGTTACAAGTAACCAATTCAGATTTAGAAGTTATCTATTATTATCTCTATTTTGCTTTGAATTTCAGACAATATGACAGCCATGTATCATCTATAATGTACAAAATATGAAAATAGTATACTGATCTGACTAAAGATTAAATCACCTCCACACTAAGGCAATTTCTACAAATATCTTTATGCTTCGAGACGATACTTCAATCTTTTTTAGAATCGTTGCAGTATTTTTTTTCTACAATGCTATTAAAGTCAAACAATTCTTTCAGACTACTAGAGGCTTTCTCAAATTTCTTTTCCCCGATTTTTATAAGATCTGTCCAGATTCCAGAAAGATGTTCGCGCGACAGATATTAAAATGGCAATAAAACTTAATGGAGACTTGAACGATGAGAAAGGGAAACTCACGAAAATTAGTCGCACTCGTCGCGACATTTTCCAGGATCGCTGGTAGAGGTGGCTCTTCACGTTGTGAATAAACGCATTGTACGGTCAGAAGGACCACCGCGAAGATAAGTGATTGCAACCTCATTGTGTAGCGAAGAAGATAGGATGACACTACTTGAAAACGGTCAAACTATCGAGAGGCTCACGCGCGACGAGTCTGCCATTCATTCGTTCCAGTCACGAAGAGGCAGGGAAACCGACTGGCAAGATGAAAGAGCAATCGTGCACACGCTGCCGTCACGCACACGTGCATACCAATGTCGTAGTGTCTGTCTGTGTTTCGGCCTCGTGCCGGGCATCGTTGCTCGGCGAAAGTGAGTGTTACAAGGTGGTTCTTATACGCTCTACCCTAATTATGGTCGCTGGATCATAAATCTCCCCCAAACCCGACGACGTTGTAGAATGCAGAATTGGAGGGATAATGGAGTGCCGGAGTTGCAATGTTTCGACCTTCTGTGATGGCTTCTTTCAGACAATGTAATTGCTTCTTGCATGCTGGCAGTGTGCCTAAAAAGATTGTATGTTAATATAATTGTTATTTTAGTAAGATAAATAAAAAGAAAAAAATTATGTTAAGAATTATGTATCATGATAAACACTGTAAGTGCATTAAGACAATTGTGTCTTAATAGTCACATGACGTCTAAATATTAATTTTGTTCGCAACTAATGAATGATAATATTTAGTAGAGGAGAATAAAGAAAGTGATTTATTTCCCAGATTACTATATTATTGTTTAGCTGGAATTCGAAGAATTTCGTTTCGTCCTTCACCGTATCGTGTTGCATTTCTGTTTGAGTTTGACCCGACTGGAAAACGTACTCAAACATAAACAATAGATGGAGGCGCGACCTTACCACAAGGAGATTGTGATGTCAATACCGTATACGAACGTCAGGAGAGATAAGACTGTATCGCCGTGGACAATCTACTTTCGGTTGAAAGTTGCCACCGAGATCTGTGATCTGCATTGTTAATTGTTCTTACTTTATGTATATCTTGAAATTCCTTGAAATATCTTGAAGATATCATACCTTGATGAGATGGTATTTTTCTATTATGCATTTATCCACCTAAAAATTTCACAATATAGAATCTTAATCATTAAAAGATAGCAATCAATGTATAGCTAGAAAACAGTTCATAAAATGATTATTTGCTACTGTCTACTAAATAGTTTGCTAAATTACCTGAATTTCTGAAATATTGACTTTCACCCTCGTCTTCTATCATAATGTATTTGTTTACCTACAATTTAAGACATTATTTTTTATTTAATTTATAAGTAAAAAATAATTAGTTATAAAATTACCTCTTGCTTGGATGGTTGTATTTTTCAGCACAGCTTCATGTCCCAATTATGCTATAAAATAATCTACACTTTTTTTATAAATAAAAAGATGTTTTAAACAATTTACCTTAATTTTGTGAATGTATGTATGCAAGTTGTATATGCTCACAACTTCCTCAGACGAATTGAATGTTCCATACAACGGTTATATAAACATAATCAGCATCTTCTTAGAAATGATTTGCATTTTCTAAAACATGATCCATACTCATTAAAAGATGATCTATATCGTGATGAAATTGAGAAAAAGTTGTCACGAACCTTTCACATTCTCTCCTGTATAACCATTATTTATAGATAGGTTGTGCCGTATTTTTTCGAAATATATTCGAATTCAGAAAAATTGTATCATCGAATATTAATAGAAACCATGCAATTCTTTGAAACGTGCATTGAATATTTCATAAAAAATTCATCTGTCACCGAAACGATGCATCTATTAGCCGCATGACGTCCGGCATTCTCTCTGAAAAATTTAAAATTGTCGGTTATTAATCTCAATATGTATATCGCAAAACTGTACCTGTTTCGAAGACAGCAGTTTTCCCGAGCTCCTTGTATAAAAACGAAAACAGATACACCTATATCAATCGTGTCATTTGATAGATCTAGCCTATTCCTACAGTTAAAAGTAATTTTAAGAAATATTCTAAATAATTTGCACAATCTACCTGCATTTCACACCATCGGCTGTATCCCTTTCAAAGCCGGCGAGAAAGAACACTAAATGCAGGAAACATAAAAACACTTAATCATAGAAGTTACTAGGTCAATAGCACTTGTTCCACTGCTTCAAATTTATTAAAAATCCGTAAATCACTTAAAGTAAAGGAAAAAATCTCTTGGTTTTATCACAATTATTTTACAAATTAATTAGGCACTATACAGATATTAAATGATTAAATTAATCGACGCTAAATAATTATCGATAGATTAATCCATCAATTAGAACATTACAGATGCGCCCACAAAAAATAATTGATGTACTTTCACAAAGTATCACTGCGACATCTTCAGCACGTCCTTCGCCAACACGTGCGTCCAGCGAGTGTTAAAGAATCAGCAGCGCCCCACTTGATCTGAAAAGGATAAACAAATATTCCGAGCAGAAAGCCCGCGAAGAAGGGGGTTATATAATCCCTTTGTTCCTCATGGATAATATTATTACAAAGCCGACCCATTGCTATCAATTTTTCATTCATGAGTTCGTCCCCCAAATTGACGTCCGCCCCATCCCCATTTGTTAATATACAGTGCATATAAATCGTCAAATGTGTATAAGTAGATGCCAATAGCTTAAAAGCGTTTCATACAACGACATGTTATATTGTAATCAAAAGACTGTAAGCACGTGTTAGAATAGGATTGTGTATATGTACCGAGAATCTCTTATCGTATAATATATATGTCTTTTAGAAATTCGTATCGTATATGTTTGTTTTTTGAAATTCCCACAGATTTTTAAACAGAATAGTCATAGACTATATCCGCGACATCTAAATTTATGGTAAAACACTTTCGCGTAAAGTAATTATCGATTGCGTTAATCGATTCGTCCTAGTGACTTTTGCATCGTGATGTATTTTTGGATTTTTGTAAGCCAGGTATTTATAATTAAAATTTAAGCATTGTACCGGAATTCTATTGATTTTTCTAGATTTTTTTATCGTACTTTTATTCACAATCTTTATTAAATAAAGACAAAGATAGACAACCTAGCTTTATGTCACACGACTCCCACCAGCCCTCGTTCATTCCTCTCCTGGACGTGCCACTGATCGGACGTAAGAACAATTCGGTATTTTAATAATTATTTAATTATTTATATAAAATCAAGTGAATCGTGATCATAATGTTACGTTTCGAGGCTTAGCTTCCTCTACAATTGATAGTATTCGTGTTTTTTTTCTATATTATGAGAGATTTATGAGATTTATAAGATTTTGCCTACACTTAACGGTTTTTTACGACCATCTTTCTTAATTGCTTAACAATATAAAATCGATTATGCTCTTTTCGTGTTTTCTCGTGAAGTTTCTTGTAATTTTCGTACTTTTTAGCGTTTGTACTTCGACAAATGTATGTTAATGAATTTTTCTAAAGATTTTCGGGCGATCGTCTGACGCCATGGGGGGAGGATGATCATCTTCGGAATAGCTCTTCTTTAAACCGTTTAACGTTTGAAGAGACGCCATGATAGATCTCTTCGCTGCAACCTCCACATAGCAACAGGTGAGTGGTCCATTGAATAATTAATTTTTAGCATAATAGCGTCAGTGTCTTATCGCAAATGTGACAGAATGATAATTAAAACATGGGTTTTCATTATTTATTGTTCGCGGCGTGGTATATTTTTTATTTTTCGAAATTTTTCAATTTTTATAATCGTCTCGGCAGCAGTTGTAGATTACATCGAAATCGATTCCTTTTCTCCTGTTTTACGAAGAAATCCTCAATCTGCTTTCTAGAAAATGATTATTTCTTTTTTATTTAATGAGGGGCGATGGTTTTAAAAATTTTTTTAAATTTTTTAAATAAATTTTTTTTTTATATGACGTATTCTCGAGAAATCGAAAGCATGGTGTTTTCATCACATCTTTTCGTGATATTTCTCGAAGTTTTCGTGTAGATTTTGCGCTTTTTCGCCAAAAAATCGATTTTTCTGGATTTTTGCGAATTTCTCAGAAGATTTTCGAACGATCGACTGACGCCATGGGGGGAGGATGACCACCTTCGGAATAGCTCTTTGAACCGTCCAACGTTCAAATAGACGCCATATTAGATCTCTTCGTCGCAAGCTTTGCACAGCAACAGGTAAATGGTCCCTTGAATAATTAATTTTTTGCATAAAAAAGTGAGCGTTTTATCGCGAGTATGATATAGAATGATAACTAAAACATGGGTTTTTATTATTTATTGTTCGCGGCGTGGTATATTATTTATTTTTTGAGATTTTTCAAATTTTTATAACGTGTTTCATGACGAATGGAAAGTGATTAGTATCCAGCATCTATTCTCGCGTTTAATTTCGATTCTTTTAATCTGCCTGTGATAAAAAGATTATTTCTTTTTTATTTAACGATGGGACAATGAGTTTTATATTTTTTTTTAATTTTTTAAATAAATTATTTTTTTTTATATGCCGTATTTTCGTGTGATCATAGAGTTATGCTATTTCCGAGTTTCCTGGCGACGTTTCTCCTCATTTTTGTGCAGTTTTCATGTTTTTGTGCTGAGAAATGATTTTTTTTTATTTTTCTATAATCGTAGATGATGCTAACGGTTGGCTGACATCATATGGGACGGTTGTTCTTAAACCTATCTGATCCTCTTGAAGAAGAAGATGGATCGACTCGACACCAAGGTGTCGCACTTTGGTACCGGCCATGAAGCTCTCCATATCAACAAATAGGTGTTGCCTACTATTTTCAAATTTTCATATCATAGAATCGGTGTCATGTAGCCAGTGTTACAGAAATAGGTGATCGAATCATTGTCTTTCATTATTTAATGTTCGCGGCGTCATATATTATTTATTTTTCGAAATTTTTCAAATCTTCATAACGCGTTTCATGACGAATGCAAAGTAATTAGCATCCAGTATCTATTCTCGCGTTTAATTTCGATTCCTTTAATCTGCCTGTGATAAAAAGATTATTTCTTTTTTATTTAACGATGGGACAATGAGTTTTATTCTTTCTTTAATGTTTTAAATAAATTATTTTTTTTATATGCCGTATTCTCGTGTGATCGTAAAGTTATACTATTTCTGAGTTTCCTGGCGACGTTTCTCCTCATTTTTGTGCAGTTTTCATGTTTTTGTGCTGAGAAATGATTTTTTTTTATTTTTCTATAATTGTAGATGATGCTAACGGTTGACTGACGTCATGTGGGACGGTCGTTCTGAAACCTATCTGGTCCTCTTGAAGAAGAAGATGGTTCAACATCTTCGATTCGATGATGGTTTCTTCGATTAGATGGTTCGACAGTGAAGACACGGAGGTGTTGCACTGTGGTACCGGCCATGAAGCTCTCCATGTCAACAAATAGGTGTTGTCTTTTATTTTCAAATTTTCATATCATAGAGTCGGTGTCATGCCACGAGTGTTACGGAAATAGATGATCGGATCATTGTCTTTCATTATTTAATGTTTGCGGCGTCGTATATTTTTTATTTTTTGAGATTTTTTAAATTTTAATAATTTGTCTTGGCGATGCGGTACGTGGTGTAAACCGATTTGGATGCTGCTTTTTTTCTTGCGTTTTCCGTTTAACTCTTCGCTCTTTATAAGCGCTACATAATTTTTGGATAACAATTTTTGAAAACCTGGTAGTATCGCATCATTTCTGCATCCATTCGCGATGTTTAATTTTCATAGATTTCTTACGTTTCTGTTCTCAGAGTAGTATTGTTTTGATTTTCTAGTTAATTTCTGTTTGTTCTTGTTTGTTAGTGACGTCAGAGGGAGGTTGGCTATCTTGAATCATTCTTCTTTTGTGAAGCATATCATCGCTCGGCAAGCCGCAATTTTAGATCTGGTTGATACAACTCGCATGCATTAATTGGTGAGCATTGCCTTAGTTTCTTGAATTGTTTAAATAATTAAATAAACAATTTATTTAAATAATTACTAAATAATTATGAAATTTTTTGTTTTGTTATTAACTTTATACATTTTTTTATGTTTTGTAATTATATTTAATTTAATATTTTGTTTGTTTCAATTTTTATTTATGAATTAAATGGACGATAAATATTAAAACTAAAATAAATTTTGTGAAAGATTCAGTAGTATAGCGGGGAAAGAAGCCATCTTGGAGCCAGACATGTTTTAATCTACTCATCTTCTCAAGAGCCGCCATGATGGAGTTGCCGGTACCTTCGAACGACCATCTTGTAACGCCCAACGATTCCTGTATTCAACTACAAAAGGTTGTTTTTATTTAATTTTTTATTTCGTACTTTTCGGTTTTGAAAACCTTCCGATTACAGAAAATCTTTATCCTAAACTTTTTAAATATCTTCACTACATAATATTGTTTAAAGTATGTTAAGTATATACTTTATAATAATTTCTCTTGCAGGTAATCATAACAAATATAAACTTAAACATAAATAACTACTTTAGAATCTAGAACATTTGTATTTACTTAACGTATCTTATTCATAGTAATCTATAATTTGCACATTCTTTTTTGTAGTTTCAACTCTTCTTTCTTCTCTCTTCCTCATCCTCCTCTGTTCTTTTGTTCCCTCTTTCTGATCTCTTCTTCCTTTCCATAATTCTTTTCAACTCTCTCAGTCCTCTTCTGTCAATATTTCTTAGATCTCCTATACTCATGCCTATTTGCATTCATTTCCACACTTGAACCTTGCTATCAAATTTCTATCCTTTGCCTTCAGCTTCTCTTTTAGATTATTTGGTAATTCCTTCATTTGTATTTTCTTGTATATTGTAAAATATTTAGAGATCTTTATTTTTTCTATTTTCCTCTTTTTCTCCCTTTCTTTATCTTTTCTTTTCTTTTGCCTCTCCATCTTTCTATTTCTCTCCTTGTAACTTCTATTTTTGCCTATATCTTTGTTCTTTCTACCTCCCATCCTTCTTCACTTCATTCTCTCTTTCTCTTTTTATCTCCCATATACATTCCCTTAGTTACTAAACTTCTTCGAAGTTCTTGCCTCCTCTTCGTACTTGATTGCTCTCCTTAAAGTTTTATCTCTTTTTTCTCTTCCTTTTGTTCTTTCCATATCGTAATTCGATGTACTTCTATCAACGCATAGGATCCATTTGATATATTTCCTTCATATAGATTGAGAGAATCTTTTATTATTTTCATTATTTTTTATTTTGCTTTTGATTTTTGTTAATATGTTATGTAAACTTTGTATTAATTTATATTACTATTTGTAGATGGTGATATGAATATAAGGGATGTTGCTCTCTCTGACTAAGGTAATAGAGATACGAGTATTTTAATGAAGTCATCATCGGTGAGTCCATTAATCACGCTTCAGTAGGAGTTCAATAGTGAAATGACAATTCATTGAAATTGATCATATTTGTATGTGGACAAATATGTCTGGACAGTGTTAAAACGGTATTATTATTAAATGAGTCAATTTGACTCGCTCCGGCAATCTAGTGTTAATATTTATGTATGTGTATTTTTATATTTATTACGATGATTTTATATATAATGTATGTTTGGAAGATTGCAATTATATGTTACAATGCACATTTCGACGCTGATAAATCTAAACTCATGATAGAGAAATACCTATAAATTTTTGTATAGAGATATATTTCACATATAAATGAGATTGGTGGAGGTTCAGGTATACCTCACAGCAACAGACCGCGACGCATCGCTTCTGACAATAGTCGGCACTACTAGACCTACGTCTATATTTAAAACGGCCAGTTCGTGGAGTGTTTACTTCCGAGCTGGAATAACGTTTTGAATGAAGGGGTGCATTCGTCCTGGCGTTACGACGACCAGGCGAATGAGTGATGTCTAGCGTTGGAATCCGGGGTGGATTCCTTGGGGCCTGGAAACCCCAGTCGCTAACCAACTCATTTTCTCTGTGCTTCTTTTTATGTTCATTTTTTAAGTATTTGTGCATTGTTGCTCGGGAAGAAAAATATTAATTCTCGTTCAAAATTAGTATATAATTAAAAAAATTAATATTGCAGAGATGTTTTATTTATAAAATTAGTTACAATACCGACTCATGTGTCGACTTTCTTAACTAGATAATTGAATCAGATAGAGTCAGGAAAAATAGAATTTCAATTTCAAATGACTGCCAATGAGCTCTAACTTATAATTCATTTGTTAGATTATAATCAATTCTAGATTAGCAGATAAATATATTTATATTTATTTTAACTAACTGGGCTTGCTCTGAAGAATAATATCAAGTAGATTGCCAACTTTTTATTTTACATATTGGCCATAGTTCCAGTACAAAATAATTTTCAACAATAAAATTAATTCAAAATAAATCTACATGCTTAATGAGAAGAAATTCGCTGGTAGAATCGCGAGAAGTTTTGATAAATAAGATTTTAATTATTTTTAATATCTTTTTGCAACCGGTGATGATCGTTCTCGTCAGATGAAGAAATTATCATATCTTTAGACTAGCTTTCCACTTTCAATCTTCGCGTACGGTGCTCTGGTAGAAGCAATTGACAGATGAATTGCAAAGAACGCGCGCGCGCGATAGTTACAAGCTCTGCCAGAGTAAACTACAAGACAGACTCAGAAACATTAGTACTCGCGTTTGTTTGACTTATTAGTAATATTTTTAGAAGAGAGCCTCCTGTTATTTGGCGCAGTATAATAGATTATGAAATTTCTATTGAAATGCGCCTGTTTGATTTTAATTACACTAATTATAATGATTATAATGATACTAGTAAGCGATCCGTGTCGACTATTTAATTTTTAGAGTTGGATTCGGATAGATAGGCTTCGGATAGACCCATCCACTTGGTAAATACGATGGTCTTTGCGGTACCGGATAGATGGTAATTGCCCCTGAAGGAGCAGGAGTCGTTGCTGGTTTCGCGCTCATTATCGTTGCAAACATCGCTATAATCACGATGGCAACACTCACAATCCTCTTCAACGCAATCTGTAATTAATTGAGCCCGTAAAATATAATAAAATTCGATGTTAAATAGTTAAATATAATGTGAGACAGATAGGGAAATTGTTAGAATCGTATAAAGCATGAATGAAATGCAAGAATCATTTCACTTTTATTACCATAATTAATACTTGTAAATTCCGGAACCCGTGTCGTGTTCACCGTGTTTCAGCAGACAACCTGCAATTGTTAAAAATCTCGCGTCTTTTATACCTCTCGATTTTGAAGAGGTGGACACTTATCTAGGTCACAGGTGACGACAGAATGAGAAATTCACGTTTGTGGGTCACAAGGTCAATTTTCATAAATGTTTCCTGGTTTATCAGTCTCCGAGGTGAATGATTTGCCTGTGATTTTCATTTAATGTTTGCTTCATAAAACAACTATATTGGAATTCGAGATCGCGACATTATTCTATAATATTGAAATCTGCTGAATTTGTCGTTGTTAAGGTAACAAATTTTCAGTCGAAAACTCTACCTGACAAACAATATTTTGCCAGCGGTCCTTGACCCGTTTGTAAGCGATCAGCGCTGAATAGCAATTAATTCGTCGAAAGTTGATAGCTCGGACACGTGATTCTCTGTATCGCGTATTTCGCAGTCGTCTTTAAAGATAGTAAATAGCTTGTTAGAAGATCAAACCAGCGCTTGCTGTGCAATCAGCAAATGATTTCTTTGAACAGATTGTTCTGTCATTAATCACTGTTAATGACTCATTTTTAATCAATTCGGTAGGAATTTAAAGTAGCTTGCAGTGTTTCTTCTGATATACATCATGTTTCAATTTACTCACAGTATAATCAGCTGTCAGACGTAGTATTAATTGAGGGAAAAGGATGCGGGGTATCTTAACAGTTGTATAATACTATATTTTCTTCAATTATAATTTATTAACATTTTGTACTAATCTTAAGTATACGATATGTTTGTGCATATATAAAAATAAAATTCTTGGAATATAAGGGTCATTATTCTAATTCTACACTAATTATAGTTTCATTATCTTAATTCTCTCTCTTCACTAATAGTGTTAGGTTCTGGCGTGGAAGACTTAGACAAATTGGAAACTTCATTGTCAATATACTCTTCGCTGCCTTCCTGTTGTCCATTTCTCATTGTAAAATTAATTACTCTGCAACGAAAAATCAGATGATCAATAAATTAAATTTATTATAATTTGTCTTTTATTAGGATTAACCTTATTCGAATATTAGGTTTATTTTAACTTACAAAATTAGGAGGAATACTGATGTCTGTGTGGCAAATGTCAGCCAGTATATTGACGCTGGCTCAGTATTAATTGTTGCATTGTAGAGTTGAGTGTACAAGATGCCGCTAAACAAAGGCACCGCGTTATCACAGACAGAAAGCATTGCGAACATCTTCCCTGTAAATAGCAATCGCGTAATTAATCGAATTGACATGTTCTCAGAAATAATAGTACGATTTTCATATCCACTGACCTCTTTCTTCCAAAGAGACAAGCTTAGAAATCATTGATCTCAAAACTGGTGCCACCATTGGGCCCAATGCAGCCACTCCGGCTCCTGTATTAATATCAGCAAATTGTAGACTTCGTTTCCTTGAAATTAATATATTCCTAACGAGCTTACTTACCAACATAGAACATTTCTGGAATCCTGGCAAAGATGAATACAAGTCTGCCAGCCGCGTGCGAAACTGCTCCAATCGCGATGATGATAGTGTCCTTTATTTTCAGTAATTTACTCATCAGCGGTACGCCAACCAGCATCGCTAAAAGCGAGAAGTTTCCGTGACCATAACCGGAGAGATCTCGGTGCGAGAGAAAGTCTCGCTTGGATTTCTCCTTTCACTTGAATTACTTGACAGAATTACAGTACTAACCCAGAACGAACATAGTCGATTGGAAGGTTCTGAAGTTGCTGAACTTCGTCACGTCCCACTTGAACTTCAGCTGTGTGTATAGGTAGCTCATAGGCTTCTCATCCCTTTGAAATGTATAGAGCATCATGATGATCAGTAGCAACCATAAGTGTAGCTTCGTATGATTTGGCCTGGACTTGGTCAACGTCCGTGCGGTCGCGATCACGTGTTCCTTGTCGAAGAAGTCCGTCAGGAAATTACTGCACGAATGCGGCTGCTGTTGCGGTAGCGTCTGCCATTTTAGTACTATCAGAGAGTACACTATAGCTAGAATTAGTAGACTCGTGTTTATGGAGAACATGATCGTATACGATGCACCGGCGATGTGTGTGTAGATGTAGGAACCCAGGGCCACTCCTGTAATTAATTAAGATCGAAATCTGGTAAGAGTTAGGTTCGTTTAATTAGATTATACCTGTTGGCATAGTGCTGAGGTACACAACGTCTAGAATCATAATCCTCATGGTCCTCTGTCTCACTGATGTAATGTCTGATAGGTATGCGAAACAGCTGCCGAAAATGGCAACGTCAGCCCCTAGAATCCCCATAGGCAGACTTGCTGTGTAGACCACAGAGTTTAGATTCCATGTGTCCATCATGGAATTAATGACTATCATAAAAGAGTAGATGAATTTCCCAGTGAGACCCATAATTAGTAACAACTTCCGACCATGTCTATCGCTCCAGTTACCAAAGAACAGCGCTAGAATAATTGGTACTACGTGACCAGCTATACTGTTCCATTGATGGAAATTAGACACAGTCATCTGTAATTAATTCACATGATACTCCATTCTTCTCAAACGAAATGTTCTGTTGTTGTTTTGAATTTTCATACATAATTCAGTTATTTGGAAGTGTACTTCCGTCTGTGAATCCTTTCTTATAGTTTCTATTTTTTTTCAGAGTCTCGAGTAGACCCTTGGGAAAGAGAGAAAAATGGTAATTCGCAGGTAACCGGAAATTTAGTTGGTACCTGAACCTCGGACTTAATTGTCTGGTTGTAGGTCAGGTTCGCGCAGACCTCCTCCGAGTATCCATGGTCCACGCGACATGCTTTCTGTACGAAGAATGCCTGTTCCACTACAGACGTGATCATATACGCCATCATGTATAGCCACATTGTCGGCTCTACCGAAATATCGCGTATCCAAGCCAGATACATCCATGTTCTGTTCGGTCTGCTCATATTTATGCTCGTTTTCCTGGCTGGAAGATAATGGGATTTATTCCGTGATTGCGTCAAACGGTGTCGGAGAAATGTAAATAACACACTCTTAGATTAACTGCAGCAGCAGATAAAATGATGTTGTTACTTGAGAGTTGTAACGTTCGTTTAGAGTAATTTATTTATCATTTAATATTTGTGGAATACCGCCAGATGCGGCGAGTGATTAGAGCGAGATTTTGAAAGATTTGGTGCCTCTTTTGTTAGTACTTATGCGACTTGAATTTTTATATATTTCGAACTTTTTTAAAAATAATTACCTGTTAATACTACGGGATTGTAGAACCGCTGGAATCAGGCGAATCTGTGCAAACGTGAATGGTACCACATTGCACCGTTTAAGTCCCCGTTTTTCTGTAATAATTGTGCTTGAATTAGTATATTGGAGCAGCCAAAACATGTCCGAGCATGCTCGTTGTCTATTAACGTAGCGTAAGACGATACGGTTGTTCCGAAAAATGTTTCGATCGCCTCAAGCAATTGAATTGAATTGGACAACCGTTCACGGCCGTCTGTTCCATTCATTTCATTTCTAGAGTGCAATGATTGAAACTTTCGAAAAACAGTATTCGATTGGGCAATTAAATTCAATTGTAGATCGAGACGTTTTTCAGGGTCTGAACGTAGTCGTAATTTGTTCTATATAGATATATATTTATGTAATGGGGAGATGTAGCGTGACACTGCTTTAAATGATTCCGGCATTCAAAATTTAGAAAACCTATATAGAGTTAGCATGTCCAAATCAATTACGGCATTAATTACTTTCAACAAGCGGCACTGAATTTTTTGAAAATATTTTGAACGTAGCACGGGGGACTTGCTGAATTTATAAATGTATGAAAGAAATTGAACGTTATAATTATTCGCAAATACCAATATCGGATTGTTCTATTTTTTAAATAATTGCGATATCGCATGTTTACAGAATTGCAATAACGCATAGAAGCTGTGATAATTTTTGTATCACAGATCTGAGATCGTATGATGCAATCCCGGGAAAGCGCGTGTTAGAGTAATTTTCAATTCAAAATAAACGAATCATGGATACTCAGGGTAATTTTAGTAGCTTATTAAGTTTTTTCGTCGCCTATAACGACTGTTAGGCGACAAAGAGTAACTTGAAAGAGTAATCTATTTTCAAATTGTCACTATCTAATCTAACAGGAAGTAAATTAAGTAGAATATTATAAGAGGTCAAGAATTCATGCTCTAATTATTTTTATAGTTGAACGACCAGTTTTCGGTCTAAAAAAACAGCTCAATAATTCGCACTTATATGTATTTATGTATAATAATATTACCACTTTTCTCACCTCTCAAATTTAATGCTCCCTCTTTGAGATGCCCCGTGCAAAACTGCGTCAAAATTTGTACAGTAGTCGGAGGTAGTGAGCAGACCACGTGTTGTTTCTTCGAGGGGTTCTGCAATCGACTGCATTCTGCCACTGCTGCCAACGGTGTGGTATCGAAACATCGTCCTCCGTAGAATGCAGCGACATCTCCGTCGTTCGCGTTTGAAATTTGAATTCCATTTCTTTGTTCATTGTTTCGCGACCCGAACTTGTTTATAAATCAGTTTCAAAAACTGATATTCTTCTGGATTCTAATCCAGAGAGTTTCCATAGACTTTTTTCTAGTCACTTACCAGTAGAAAACTGTCTCACATATTTAATAAATAAGAAAGTAGACACGAATAGCTTACGTAACACTATAAATATTAAATATACAAACATGAACAATTGTAGACTGAGGTAATTGAAAATCAGGCAACAGTGTTTCGATAGAAATTTATTTGACATTCTTAGTAAATCGGATTGCACAGACATAACTGTGGAATCAATTATTCGTTAGGCCATCGAAATTGAAAAATAAATTGTTTGTGAGACCTGTCGTCTTCGAATTGACGAAATCCGAAATCCTGTGCCATTAGAGATGGACGTCAGGATGGATACTCGAGGAAAAATATTTTTTTCATTTGTTCATTCCCGAGCAGATGAAACGACTATACTTTTGCCGAGAAATTTCCCTGACACCATCTACATTGGCAGGAATTCTTTTCAATAATTATTTCTAGTAAGCTAACACTTGTTAAAGGTTATACAGCTTGACAATTATTTTGATATGAGAGTTTCTCCATCTGGGACGATCGAGTAAATTATCACAGGTGCTTCGATGCATTCTGTAGTAATATTTTAAATATTGCAAAAGCATCTCAGGCCCAGTTAGTTACTCTTGTCACAATTTGGGTTCATTAATTCACTTCATGACATTTGAAATTGTTGACCAATATAAAATTATACTTTTGTTCAAGAGCTAATGTTTGCATAATATTTTCAGATTTGGATCTATGCAAGAGCCAGCACAGCAAGGACCAGAAGAAACCATATTTCTTAACAACTGAGAGGACTTTTGATAGTTGGTATGTTTGTCAGTAGAGTCATTCAAGGAAAAACAGTGTTCTCTGACAATTGCTGTGCTAGCTAGTGTGTGGTGTAAGAATATGAGACACATCATGTTAATTTTGTATAATAGTATTAATTATAGAATTTGATGCCATGAGAATTGTATAACATAGAGCTCCGTGCGACTGGGGCCCAATTGTTTTTGCATTGTTTTGATAGTTTCTTAATCGATCGAAGCAGCCCCGGTATTACAACTTTGTCAATTAAAATACATCTATATGACTGGACCGGCCAGTAACATTAAAATACTCAGTATTCTTAAGAACGAATAATGCGGGCTCAATGGAAAGAATTGAATTCGCATTATCAGTTAGACTGGATAAAGATTCAATTGACTGGTTGTCGAAATTCTTAGGATAGTTAGATTCCTCAGAATATTATACAATTTTTACACGAAATTGTAAATTGTATAATCATTTATGCATATGTCCATATATATATACGCGTATTATATATGTACGCGTATTAGTAATTCTTTATTCTTTCTGGGCAAAATAATCTTTCAAACATGTCATTGTCACTGTTGAACTCAATCAGTTGTTGCATAAATCTAATACAAGTAGCTAGTCGCATGGTAGTTAGAGGGCTCAAACGGAGTCCCAACGGTGCTCAAACTGAGCCGAAGAGGAGAGCTCCCGGTCTCGCGCTTTAATTATTAATTCAAATAAACAAATTCAGAATTTTTATAGTTAATTAATAGACAGATTTATTAGAATTTTTATCTCAAATGAGTAGTCTTTGTTAGAATCTTTATTATACGTTAATAGTCAAGATATGAATTTTTATTTTAAATTAGTAGAGACATAGGATAGACTTTCGATTTGTATAGACTGGGTTGTAGTTATTTTCGCGATTTCCAGGCCGTCACAATTCGCGTTTGAAACTTAGAGGCACGTTTTGATCATCCGTTTAATAATGAATTTAAGTAATTTCAAGTTAGAGTTTATGACTTCATATTTGACGTTGAGATCTTTTATATTACTAATTAAATTCGCCGCCGATACATCGAATGGAGCTCGCAACGAATGCAGTGAGCGTAAAGGAAGCTCATAAAGAGCTCGAACACAGCTCAAATAGAGCCGATATTTGCCGATTTTGCAAATAGAGCTCAACCGTATTTCTTTCTATTGTGTATTGACTGAATTCTGATTTCATGTATGTACACTGATTTATTTATATGTGTGGATTTATTTATGTATATTGATTTACTTAGGTATATTGATTTATTTATCTTTATTGAATTATTTATGACATTTACTTGCTTATTTGGATTGATATATTGATGGATTTATTAATTTTTACATGTTTATTTATACGTATGTGTCATTGGCATATCTATGATTTCATATTGATTATGATGATTATTAATATTGACGATGATGATTTTGTGTTAATGATTTTTTGCGAATGTGTCATTGGGATTTTTTTCTTGATTTCGATGTTATTAATTACTATGCACAATGCAGACTATATCAGACACCAATCTTTCTGGCGCTATAACTCGCTGTTTAATTTAGGTGCATTTCGTTCATCGAAAAGCATCTTCGTTCGTGCTTCGGGAACGCGATACTTGCTACAATCGCAGTGAACTTAGTTGAAATAGATCTACCTACTCAACAAGAATGCTGATACCTCCATAATTGTATGTATATTGCACGCGGATACATAGCGGTTTCGGCTACATATTCAAATTTGCTTCGTCTTTGATCTCGTCGAGTTTCGTGTCGCATTGGAAATCCAATATCATATACGAAAATAGCGCGATTTAAATTCATCGAATTTTGTTACATACATGCGACATGTATAATTACAATTCATTTCTTAAATATTTTATTTTTCTTTGATGTGACATGAGACAATTATTCAAATTTGACGCGATACGATATCAGAACTGTAAATATGAATGGACATTCAATTTCATCATTGGGTGGTTTTTTGGGCCGAAATTGTGGAGCATACGCCCACCAGGCCATTGCGTAGATCAGTAACGCAGCGTTAGGTTCTTAGGTGAGAATAATCCCGTTGTAGTTAGTGCGATATCACGATACAAATGACGACGTCAGACCCTCCGCGGTGTGACCAACATACATTCGTTTGCGTTCCAGCAATGGAACAGTGAGTCTGCGATCCTGGGAGCATACTGGCGCAAAAAGAAGATGTATTGAGTTACGTCACCTGTGTTGGTATACTCTACGAAATCAGTAATTGCTGCATTAGCATCTAATGTAGTGAGTGCAGGTTTTGTAGTGTCTCACGGTCGTGGTCTAAATCACTTTAGCTCCTCTAGGACGTCGTCACGTGTACCTTAAGCCTCTATGGTGTGTGAGCGCTAAATACGGGGAATCAAATACTGCGTTGCATCAGCATGATTTTTGTGTACACCCCCCCAACGCAATGGTCTTAGCGCGATAGTTTAATTTATTAATGACATCATGCTGGTACTTTATCGCCACGAAAAAAAAAAGATAAAGTGTTGGTATGTGTCTCTAAATGTTCACTTCAGGATTACAAAATTGGTATTGTATTGCACAAATTTGATGCAGTATCTTTCCAGAATTATTGAATGTGTTGGTGTAGAATTGTAGTTATACAGCATTGTAACTACTTAGAATATATAGAAGTGGAAGTAAATATAAATATAAGTATATAGAATTATAATTATATAAAATTGTGATTATATAGAATTACAATTCTACAGAATTGCATTTATGTAGAATTATTATTATATTGAATAACATAGGATTTTAATTGTATAAAATTATAGATATCAGTATTCTTGTTATGTTTGTACATCTATTTCGAATCGCGCGATCTCCATTGTTCAGAATTCAATGCAATAGTTAAAGTTTATATTCGATTTAACATTATATTCGATATTAACGAACAACATTAATTGATAAAACTTCTCAGGTCATAGATGGTAATTTTTTTTTGTTGACCCCCCGCTCGAACATAGAATATCATCTTTTGTGTGTATGATAAATAGAATTGTATTAAGCTCGTAAAGGTTAGCCAGAAAAGGTACTACAAAACATATTACTCGATGCACAGAGAACTTTCCTTTCTTCTTGGGGACATCCAAACGTTCTCTAACAAAATTTCTGAGATATCCACGCTATTGAGCGACGCGACAAATTCATTGCTGCCGACCTTGTTGATCTTGGAGTATTTATTTCTACGAATGTATCATTAGCATATCCATGATTTCATATTGTTTATGATGATTATTAATATTGACGATGATGATTTTGTGTTAATGAATTTTTGCTAGTGTCATTGTGCTTTTTTCTCGATTTCGATGTTATTAATTACCATGCTCAATGCAGGCTATATCAGACACCAATCTTTTAGGCGCTATAACACGCTGTTTAATTTAGGCGCTTTCGTTCATCGCAAAGCATCTTCATTCGTGCTTCGGTAACGCGGCACTTGCTACAATCGGAGTGAACTTGTTGATATAGATCTACCGACTCAACAAGAATGCTGATACCTCCATAATTGTATGTATATTGAACGCGGGTACATAGCGGTTTCGGCTAGATATTCAAATTTGCTTCGTCTTTGATCTCGTCGAGTTTCGTGTCGCATTGAAAATCCAATACCGCATACGAAAATAGTGCGATTTAAATTCATCGTATTTTGATACATACATGCGACATGTATAATTACAATTCATTTCTTAAATATTTTATTTTTCTTTGATGTGACATGAGACAATTATTCAAATTTGACGCGACACGATATCAGAACTGTAAATATGAATGGACATTCAATTTCATCATTGGGTGGTTTTCCGGGCCGAAATTGTGGAGCATACGCCCACCAGGCCATTGCGTAGATCAGTAACGCAGTGTTAGGTTCTTAGGTGAGAATAATCCCGTTGTAGTTAGTGCGATATCACGATACAAATGACGACGTCAGACCCTCCGCGGTGTGACCAACACACATTCGTTTGCGTTCCAGCAATGGAACAGTGAGTCTGCGATCCTGGGAGCATACTGACGCAAAAAGAAGATGTATTGAGTTACGTCACCTGTGTTGGTATACTCTACGAAATCAGTAATTGCTGCATTAGCATCTAATGTAGTGAGTGCAGGTTTTGTAGTGTCTCACGGTCGTGGTCTAAATCACTTTAGCTCCTCTCGGACGTCGTCACGTGTACCTTAAGCCTCTATGGTGTGTGAGCGCTAAATACGGGGAATCAAATACTGCGTTGCATCAGCATGATTTTTGTCCCCCCCCCCCCAACGCAATGGTCTTAGCGCGATAGTTTAATTTATTAATGACATCATGCTGGTACTTTATCGCCACGAAAAAAAAAAGATAAAGTGTTGGTATGTGTCTCTAAATGTTCACTTCAGGATTACAAAATTGGTATTGTATTGCACAAATTTGATGCAGTATCTTTCCAGAATTATTGAATGTGTTGGTGTAGAATTGTAGTTATACAGCATTGTAACTACTTAGAATATATAGAAGTGGTAGTAAATATAAATATAAATATATAGAATTATAATTATATAAAATTGTGATTACATAGAATTACAATTCTACAGAATTGCATTTATGTAGAATTATTATTATATTGAATTACATAGGATTTTAATTGTATAAAATTATAGATATCAGTATTCTTGTTATGTTTGTACATCTATTTCGAATCGCGCGATCTCCATTGTTCAGAATTCAATGCAATAGTTAAAGTTTATATTCGATTTAACATTATATTCGATATTAACGAACAACATTAATTGATAAAACTTCTCAGGTCATAGATGGTAATTTTTTTTTGTTGACCCCCCGCTCGAACATAGAATATCATCTTTTGTGTGTATGATAAATAGAATTGTATTAAGCTCGTAAAGGTTAGCCAGAAAAGGTACTACAAAACATATTACTCGATGCACAGAGAACTTTCCTTTCTTCTTGGGGACATCCAAACGTTCTCTAACAAAATTTCTGAGATATCCACGCTATTGAGCGACGCGACAAATTCATTGCTGCCGACCTTGTTGATCTTGGAGTATTTATTTCTACGAATGTATCATTAGCATATCCATGATTTCATATTGTTTATGATGATTATTAATATTGACGATGATGATTTTGTGTTAATGAATTTTTGCTAGTGTCATTGTGCTTTTTTCTCGATTTCGATGTTATTAATTACCATGCTCAATGCAGACTATATCAGACACCAATCTTTTTGGCGCTATAACACGCTGTTTAATTTAGGCGCTTTCGTTCATCGCAAAGCATCTTCATTCGTGCTTCGGTAACGCGGCACTTGCTACAATCGGAGTGAACTTGTTGATATAGATCTACCGACTCAACAAGAATGCTGATACCTCCATAATTGTATGTATATTGAACGCGGGTACATAGCGGTTTCGGCTAGATATTCAAATTTGCTTCGTCTTTGATCTCGTCGAGTTTCGTGTCGCATTGGAAATCCAATATCATATACGAAAATAGCGCGATTTAAATTCATCGAATTTTGTTACATACATGCGACATGTATAATTACAATTCATTTCTTAAATATTTTATTTTTCTTTGATGTGACATGAGACAATTATTCAAATTTGACGCGACACGATATCAGAACTGTAAACATGAATGGACATTCAATTTCATCATTGGGTGGTTTTCCGGGCCGAAATTGTGGAGCATACGCCCACCAGGCCATTGCGTAGATCAGTAACGCAGTGTTAGGTTCTTAGGTGAGAATAATCCCGTTGTAGTTAGTGCGATATCACGATACAAATGACGACGTCAGACCCTCCGCGGTGTGACCAACACACATTCGTTTGCGTTCCAGCAATGGAACAGTGAGTCTGCGATCCTGGGAGCATACTGACGCAAAAAGAAGATGTATTGAGTTACGTCACCTGTGTTGGTATACTCTACGAAATCAGTAATTGCTGCATTAGCATCTAATGTAGTGAGTGCAGGTTTTGTAGTGTCTCACGGTCGTGGTCTAAATCACTTTAGCTCCTCTAGGACGTCGTCACGTGTACCTTAAGCCTCTATGGTGTGTGAGCGCTAAATACGGGGAATCAAATACTGCGTTGCATCAGCATGATTTTTGTGTACACCCCCCCAACGCAATGGTCTTAGCGCGATAGTTTAATTTATTAATGACATCATGCTGGTACTTTATCGCCACGAAAAAAAAAAGATAAAGTGTTGGTATGTGTCTCTAAATGTTCACTTCAGGATTACAAAATTGGTATTGTATTGCACAAATTTGATGCAGTATCTTTCCAGAATTATTGAATGTGTTGGTGTAGAATTGTAGTTATACAGCATTGTAACTACTTAGAATATATAGAAGTGGAAGTAAATATAAATATAAGTATATAGAATTATAATTATATAAAATTGTGATTATATAGAATTACAATTCTACAGAATTGCATTTATGTAGAATTATTATTATATTGAATAACATAGGATTTTAATTGTATAAAATTATAGATATCAGTATTCTTGTTATGTTTGTACATCTATTTCGAATCGCGCGATCTCCATTGTTCAGAATTCAATGCAATAGTTAAAGTTTATATTCGATTTAACATTATATTCGATATTAACGAACAACATTAATTGATAAAACTTCTCAGGTCATAGATGGTAATTTTTTTTTGTTGACCCCCCGCTCGAACATAGAATATCATCTTTTGTGTGTATGATAAATAGAATTGTATTAAGCTCGTAAAGGTTAGCCAGAAAAGGTACTACAAAACATATTACTCGATGCACAGAGAACTTTCCTTTCTTCTTGGGGACATCCAAACGTTCTCTAACAAAATTTCTGAGATATCCACGCTATTGAGCGACGCGACAAATTCATTGCTGCCGACCTTGTTGATCTTGGAGTATTTATTTCTACGAATGTATCATTAGCATATCCATGATTTCATATTGTTTATGATGATTATTAATATTGACGATGATGATTTTGTGTTAATGAATTTTTGCTAGTGTCATTGTGCTTTTTTCTCGATTTCGATGTTATTAATTACCATGCTCAATGCAGGCTATATCAGACACCAATCTTTTAGGCGCTATAACACGCTGTTTAATTTAGGCGCTTTCGTTCATCGCAAAGCATCTTCATTCGTGCTTCGGTAACGCGGCACTTGCTACAATCGGAGTGAACTTGTTGATATAGATCTACCGACTCAACAAGAATGCTNACTTTATCGCCACGAAAAAAAAAAGATAAAGTGTTGGTATGTGTCTCTAAATGTTCACTTCAGGATTACAAAATTGGTATTGTATTGCACAAATTTGATGCAGTATCTTTCCAGAATTATTGAATGTGTTGGTGTAGAATTGTAGTTATACAGCATTGTAACTACTTAGAATATATAGAAGTGGAAGTAAGTATAAATATAAGTATATAGAATTATAATTATATAAAATTGTGATTATATAGTATAACAATTCTACAGAAATGCAATTATATAGAATTATTATTATATAGAATTACATAGGATTTTAATTGTATAAAATTATAGATATCAGTATTCTTGTTATGTTTGTACATCTATTTCGAATCGCGCGATCTCCATTGTTCAGAATTCAATGCAACAGCTTAAGTTTATATTCGATTTAACATTAGATTCGATATTAACGAGGAACATTAATTGATAAAATTTCTCAGGTCGTAGATAGTATTTTTTTTTTGTTGAACCCCCCGCTCGAATATAGAATATCATTTCTTGCGCGTATAATAAATAGAATTCTGTTAGGCTTGTAAAGGTTAGCTAGAAGAGGTGCTTTCAGAAAATATTACTCGCTGCACAGAAAATTTTCTTTTCTTCTTGGGGACATCCAGATGTTTGCCTACAAAATTTTTCAGACGTCCACGCTGTTAGGCGACGCGACTGATTCATTGTTGCCGACTTTGTTGACCTTAGGGTCAGCGTTCTCGATAGATTTGCTAGGCTGCCGCGGACCATCCAGGAAGTGTGTGACCATGCTGCCCTTGCCTTTGACCTGGATGGTGCCGCGGCATGTTAACGGATATCCTTTCGCGATCAGGATGTCTCGGACCTCCTGGGTGACCTGAATCCCGTCCAGGACACCGGTCGACTCCATTCGCGAGGCCACGTTTACCGCGTTACCCCAAATGTCGTATTGCGGCTTTCTCGCACCTATAACACCTGCTACGACCTGCGTCAAACAATCAGTTAGTCAGTACTTCAGAAAAAATCCACTATCGCAAAACCAAGTACATAGAGATCGAAAAATTTAATTCATAATTAATTCTGTATTGTTGGAGTCTTCTTCTAGGACTATTTATTGTCTAACAGACACGAGAAGAATGTAGTCACGGTTCCTCGTCTGTTAGACTATAATTTATTTTTGTTTCATTTAGATTCGCGGCGTCCTTATGACGCCGGGAGCTGATATTAATTATCAGCCGCTCCTTCTGGAAATGTTTTAATTAACAGTTTCAGAAGGGGTGCTGTGGGAGGTGGTGGGCCAATTTTTTAGAAAATTCTATTGTTTTTAGAATATTAAATCGAATATTTTGTTTGGCGTATGACCTACAGAATTAATTATTAATTAATTTTTTATTATTAAAAAGTATTTTTGGAGTTTTCTTATAGGTCTCCGTGGCTGTTTATAGCCTGTTAGACTAAAATTTATTTTCGTTGTATCCAGATGCGCGGCGTATTAATGACGCCGGGAGCTGATATTAATTATCAGCCGCTCCTTCTGGGAATGTTTTAATAAACAGTTTCAGAAGGGGTGCTGTGGGAGGTGGTGGGCCAATTTTTTAAAACTATATTATTTCGTGTATATTAACTTGACAATTCTGTTGGAGTGTAGTTTGCAGAATTAATTATTAACTAATTTCTTTGAAAACATTTTTCCAATTTTCCGTCCTTTTCGTGATTATTTATAGCCTGGCAGATAAAAGAAGAATATGGTCCATGGTTCTTCGTCTGTCAGGCTATAATTTATTTCCGTTTTATCCAGATACACGGCGTTTTAATTACGCCGGGAGCTGATACTAATTGTCAGCCGCCTCTCCTGCTTATAATATTTTAATTAACAGTTCCAGAAGAGGTATTGTGGGAGGTGGTGGGTCAAATTGTTTTTAAAATTATAATGTGATATCGTCAATATCGATTATAATGATATCGTCAACTTGAAGTGTAATGTAGAAAATTAGATTATTAATTAATTTTTTGGACGAGACTCTAAGAGAATTGTTTGTCGTTTAAAATTATTCAGTATTTCAGAAATATATTGTTTATTACTGTACTTGAATTTTGATAAACTTTGATAAACTTAAAATTTAAATCGATACTAATTATCAGCTCTGGAAACAATGTCTTAATTATGAAGCCTATGGTGGGGAATAATGTGGGAATAGGAGGACTAAAATGATGTACAATAAAAGTCTAATGCGGGTACATAAAATAGGCGTACACTTCGTGACTCCCGTGCAGCTAATAAATCTTTGCTAAGTAGGGTAAGGTAGCCAAGCAAACAACTGGCGGCCGCGTACACCTGTCGAGGGCGTATCGTTTACCTGCTACCTGATTGGGTCTTAAAGTTATTGGGTATTTGGGCCCCTCGTGGGTGGGGCGTTTCGGACCTCTCTTATTCCTTCATCTTGCTTTCGACATCGTTATTTTCTACCTGTTCAAACAGGCGTGCCCCATAAATAGTGGGAGGATTTACTATGGCCACTCGTAAAGCGTTCTAAATTGCGGATGATCCACCAATTGAATTTTCTTTAAACATATTCTATGGGTTCCAATTTTATTTTGGTATATAATTTGAAATAGTGTTGTCGTCACTTTATTTCAAAATTCAATTAATTACTTATCGTATCTTTATTTCCGAAGTAATTTAAATAGTTATTGTCATTTTATTTATCATAGCAATGTGTGTGTTTTTCGATAAATTTAATTTATTAAATGAGATTGTTGATTATCATTGTAAATATCAGTCTGCTTCTTTGTCTCAAATTCTGCGAAATCAGCGAGTGTGTTATTTATCCAATTTCGCGGAGAACTTATGGAAGTCATTACGAGTTGGTCGAGCCTCGTGTGTATTATACGTAGTCGGAAAGGGATTGATTGACGTTACCGGTCCAATATTGATGCCCACGCGCAACCGGAAGTTGTTGAAACTCTCTTTATTAACGTAGGCCAGCTGCTCGCGTATCCTAAGCGCGTAGTCTGCCATCGCGGTCACGTGCTTGTAATCTCTCATGTCGCAGGTGCTCCTCGTCAGACCTGAGGAAAAAGAGAAACGCTAGTCGTGAAAATTCCTGAACGCCATAAATACTCTTCCAGCGTCCGTTTCTCTCACCCCCTCTCAGCGATCCGTCGTCCGAGAATTATCTTCGAATATTTTCGAAAATTCACTTGCACACGGATCTATCTTAAAATTCCACTGAGCAATTTTTAACAATAGAAAATGTTCTACTTGTCAACATCGTACCGCAGAAAATATTCTATTAAACAATTTTTTACAATAGTATTCTGCTAAATAATATTTTAACAATAGAAAATATTCCACTATCCGTAGAAAGACTACACCAAGGTATACAGAAAAATCTGGACGAGTTTAAAGGTGTGCATCGCACGCGAATGTTCTCGTTCGAGGATATAATTAAGAATTTTCGGAAATTCCTCTCACCGGATGCGGCCATGTAGGTGGCACCGGTGCTCTTGATCTTCTCGATGTACTTGTACTCTTCCTCGGCTAGGAGCTCGTCGAAATCAGCGATGATCTCGTTCAGAAGCCGCAGACACTCGACGCCCTCGTTGTTCGCCTCGAGCTCCACGTAAAACTCGCAGAAATTAGGTATCGAGGCGAACATTATGCAGACGAAGTCGCATTGCTCGTGGTACAGCTCCTTCGGACAGAATTTTGAGTCCCAAACGTTCGTTCTCAACATTAATAATCTTCTCATTAATATCTCTAATGATTCACTGATGTATTGAATTTTCAATCATTTGTATAGTGCACTAATGTTTTGGAATTATCTCCTGGAACTATTCTGAGTGTATGATACTAATCATTTATTCTTTTTATTGATATTCTTATTGAGTATTAAAATTGTAGAATTTTTAACAATTTTTTAGAGTGCCCTAGTACTTTAAAGTATTTTCTATAATTTTTCCAAGAATCGAATCTCATACTAATAATTTATTATCCTTATTAATACCTTCAATGGTACAATAATTTATAGAATTTTTAATAATATTTTTAGTGCATTAGTAGTTTAGTACTGTCTCTAGAATTATTTCGATAGTCTGAAACTAATTTATAAATTATTTTTCATGGAGTTAATTAACTGAAACAGACGGTAGCCCGCTCCAGTCTATTCAATTACAGTGTTTCAAATAGTCGAAAGTTTTTTGGCACTCACGTCTGAATTGACAGTGGACATAAAGTGAGCCGCCACGTGCTCCGGAAGTATGTTTGCCAAGAGCTTCTGGTTGTAGGCCTTGAGGTGTTCCATTTCTTCCTTCTCCTCTGTGGCCTGCAGCTTCCACAGAAAATCCAGTCTGCCCTCAATCAGAAGAGTCTTCTTTAAATTTACCCGTCAATTCGCTTGGGAATAATTAAATTTACTGTGAAAAATTCTTATTTCGTTAATGCATTCTGTACAATTAATTGCGTGGTGTATTCTACCATACACAATTGTCTGGAGCATGTATGTACTGTTATGCACTGTACATTTCGTCAACTGCTACATCAATTTTCCAAAATTGATTGCTAAATTCACTGTTGTATTGTAAATTTGATTTGCTGTACAATTTTACTTCTACACAATTTAATTAATTAGAGCACTCTGCATATATGTAATTAATCGATGAATTTTATAAATTTGGCTGACTGCTAAATTAATTGCAAAACTGTTTAATTGATTGGTGCATTCCCTAAATTTAATTTGCTGGTGCATTTTGTTCAATTTCACTGCCGCATTATATATAATCTATTTAATTGGCGCACTCTGCACATATGTAATTAATGTCGATGCATTGTCTAAATATAATCGACTGTTAAATGTACTGCTGCATCCTTTGAGCGATCGATGCATCCCCAAATTTAATACGATTGGTGCATTATGTACAATTTACTTAATTAGTGCATCCTATGCATTCGAAACTTCGAACTGTCATTTTTCCAAGGTGCTACGTCCCTAAAATTGGTCATCGGTCTAGTGCTACATCGATCAAAGCTCGAGGTACATATTTCACCTGTATGTAGCCTCGGTGTGCTGCGAGTGAGCAACCAGACAGGCCATAAAGAAAACCACTAGAACGCCTGCGAGCCATCTCCCAGTCAGTTCGACGTCTTTCTCGTGCAGGGCTTCGTATATACTGATTCCCAGATAGCAGGCGACCACCAGGCTCAGTATCGCCACTTTGAACACCGACGTGAGGATTTGGTAGACCGCGCAGGTTATCATCACCAGCATCACTAGCACCGGGAAAAGCTGGAAAATTCGTTTACCCTTTGTACGTCTACTTGGCCTCTTTCACGTCTCTGGATCCTTAATCTTACTCCTCAAAGGACCTCTCAATTTGGGAGATTCATTCGTGATCCTTCTCGAGAAAGATCAATCTCGTGATGCATTCAATTTTTTCTTCTCAAGATAGGTGATTGGGAAATGATCAGAAAGATCTTGTTTTACCAATTTTGATGTTTTTGAAAGATACTTCTACTTCGTTTTAATTTTTTTTTTCGTGCTAAACAAATAACCTTCATTCTTTCGATTAGAGGAGTCGAAAAGCCTAAACTTTGGCTTTGATTCTTTTAGTTACTACTCATGATATTTAGATGAAATACAAGCGAAAATAATGCGAATTTTATTATTTTTGTGGAAACAGATTTTGGTATTTTTTTAATAGCAGATTTCTTTATTTTTATTTTTCATTTATTTTTATTATAGTTGTTAGGGAGAAGGAATATTGGCTAAAATGGTCCGGCTTTTGACCCTACTTACATCAGCAAAGACAGTATAGTAGCACACGTCATTAGGGTTCTCGATGCTGCGAAACGTCACACTCGAATTATCTGGCCATTCTATGTAGGACGTAGCATTGCTGCAGACCCGTGCACCCTCTAATGTCAGCTAGGATAGAAAGGATCAATCGAGTTACTTCGTTGAAGGTGATCTATCGGCGCTAGGATCAAGCGATTCTCGCTCTCTGGGGAGATCATTAATCGAGGGACTACCCTCTCTATTCTGTAAATTTTATCAACCGATACTAGTGATTGATTGTATCCATGGTAGTCTGGTGATTACTCGGTATTGACATAGCGATACGTCAATTACTATCGCGTTAGTTAGACGAGGAATACCTTTCCTGATTCTTGGAGAATCAACAGATTAATTATCTGCAAGTAGTGCATTGTTCTTACAGCGTAATCTCTGTTGGAATTTTATTGCAACTGTTTATTTTTATTGACGTTGCAAAGTTAATTTCCTGGGCTTGTAGAATGTCTTTTTGGAAATTCGTTAACCTTCAGTAATTAATTTAAGAATTTTTTGGACCACAGAAATTAGTCTAAAAATATATAATGTCTTGGTAATTAATATAGAAATTTTCTGTTCCCTAGAAATTAATTAAATAATTTTTTGGCCCCAGGAATTGATTTGGAAATTTTCTGGTCCGCAGTTAACAATTAATAGCGTCTCAAATATCAATTGAAAACTGAACGAACCCATAGGAATTAGTTTGAATAATTTGTCGGCGTTGTAGGAATTCTTTTAATTAACTTACCAACGGGCTCAGGGAAGTAAAGAATGTTAGGAATACGACACAGGTGGCCAGGGCCTGTGAGACCCCTCTGTTTTCAAAAATGTGTAGTGCCACGTCTCTAAGACATTTTGGTACGCTCTGTAAAATAGTTAATCATTTTTCTAAATATATCATATCTAGAAAAATAATAATACAATAGTGATTCAATACAATTTATTTTCTCATGTACGAGAAATAAAATAACAATTACATACAATTTGAAATAATTTTTATTACCGATTTGAGGTGAGCGATTAAATATTTTGAGATGTTTTAAATAAATTCAGTGACGGTATGTCTTGCAACAGATTTGTCAGAATATTTTGATCAAGTTCAGGGATCAATGATCCACGATCCTCGAGCACAAAGGCCGCGCTGCTCATTGTATAATAGTCGAATCGATGACTTCACCACTGACCTGGAATCTAGCCACGTATTCAAGGTTAAGAGGAAATGGCAAGATTCCAAAGTGTGTTGGCCATCGATCCATTCTACTTGGATATTGTTCAAAAGAGCTTGTCCCGGTGCACAACTTGTCCTTATCAGTTCCACCTTGTCAGTTATCCGTTCTTAGAATGAACTAATGCGTTGACTTACCTCGTTCTTCTCCGCCATCAGGATCCCATTGATTAGGGCAATCAGTAGAGTACTCACTGCTATACACGTGTAGAAGTACACGCTTCTGAAAGCAATTATTAGAGATAGCAGATCTTAGTAATTGTTTTAGAAAATTGCTAATAGTTATCGATTCCTACGAATGTATTTTTCGAAGAATTTTTTTGATTGTGGAGATTATCTTCTATCTAAGTTATCAGTTACATGTTATTTCACTACTACGTTCTGTTTCAATTGAATTACCCGTTGAGGGTGATTGCTATGGCGATCACGACCACTAGATAGACGAAGCCAGAGCAAACAAAATAGGCAGACAACATTCTGTCTCGTTCACGGGAATACTGAAACAAAAATAATTGTTAGTGTAACATTTGTTTGGCGAAATATATTGAATCGATGTTCATCGAATTTAATAAATAAGTTTAATTTTAAATTTGATAGTGGAAAATTGAAATACAAATTATGAATGAAAAATATAAATAAAAATTAAGAATGAAAATAGAAATAAAAATTAAGAATGAAGAATTAAAATACAATTTAAGAATGAAGAATTAAAATACAATTTAAGAATGAAGAATTGAAGTAGAATTTAAGAATGAAGAATTGAAATGGAACATCGTTGCACGAAAAATGAACAGAATAATTATTTTATGCATGAATATTTATTGGAATATTTTTACTGTTTCTTTCCTATGGATACGAGACTAAGAGGAGAACTTTTTAACGAGACTGTGTTGAATAACTTGCTTTTTTCGCGCAGTGAGTGATTTAGGATACCTTTTCCTCAACGTCAGGCCGTCGAAACGTTAGAATAAATGGGGTGCAGTATTCCGCCCTTAGTCGATCTATGCTCCTCGCGTCTATCGCCCTCATCAGGTACTCGTTCACCTCATCTTCAGGGTCCTTCTTCGGCTCGTTAGTCTCCCCGAAGCCTAGCCTGACGGGTAATTGAGAATCGATATCAGGAACTAGTTGAAAAAGTTATCAAAAATGCCATCAATCATCCAGAACCACCAACTGGCAATAATTCCTCTATTATTTCTTCACCTCTGACAGCTTCAATTCATTTAATTCCTCTAGAATTACTTACAATATTATTCGACAACTGAGACTTCCTAAATGTTAATTATAGTCTCTTGCACACAAATATTAATTTATTAATTAATCCTTAATTGGTATATTTTTATAAAAATAATTTGGGTCATGATGGAAAATTGCAATATTAATCTGATTATAGATAAATAATCGATACTGTATTTTATTCTTGGCTATTGTATCGAAAATTAAACTTCTAATAGATAATTAAATAAAATAAAATTACAAAGTTGGATCAAGTTGAATCTCATACTAATATAAGAATATTTTGTCTAGTTCACTAATTAATGATAAATTAAAATAGAGTCAACTTGGGATGATGTAATAATCAATATTAAATTAAAATTTTCCATCTGGGATGTAATAACAATTAATGATAAATTAAAATAATCAATGTGAGATGAAGAAATGATTTTTACCAGTGGTTCAGAATTTTAATATCTTTTTACATTATATTTCTAATTGTTGAAAAATGATTTCTCAGGGATTCTAATTTTTTCCAGAATATCTTATGCAATTTTTAGTTACTGTAACAACTCTGTGGAATTATTTAACATTTTCCTAAGGGTTGTGATCTTCGAAGAAGCTCTAGGATTATTTTTAGTATACCCAACAACCGAGCGGAGACTTCTTTTTCATTTTTCGGGGGCCTCGGTTAATGGAACATGATCGTACAGGCGATAAAATCGATTATTCTTGCCAAAGGTTCTCTTACTTCGCCTGTTTGCCGTGCTGCGATCCGTGTCCCATCATTCTCATCTCCTTGGACACGTTCCCGTTCGCGGGCAAGCCTTTTCTCAGCCCTGTAGAGGGTTTGTTGCCCTTAGACGGGTCCCCGGGGACGATTAGGTACGTTTTGATATTGTTCTCTTTGAGGTAAGCGTTCCTCTCGCCTCCATGGCCTTCCTCCACCTCATAATAATCACCCAGACAATCGAGTGTCTCTTTCGTGATGTGCACACGTCTGGAACAATTCATTATACACGAACCATCCGCGTTAATTGACCCTTTAATTGCTCTGTCGATTAATAGATTACACTAATATACATATTTTTCTGTATTAATTATTTCACTAATTCTTCTTTTTGATCTTAATATTTATTTAATTATTATCAGAGCACATATGTTCTATATTTTTCATAAGAATTATTTTATTCATTCCTCCTCGAATTTAGTATCTATTTAATTATTATTAAGGCACATAGTATTTTATTGTCGATGTACAGTCAACAAAACATCGATCGTTATACAATAATAATTTACGAAACAATGATGCAACGTAAATAAAGGTAGCTTCGCGAAAATACTCAATTATTGGTGATTGGTATTCCAGGAAATACGGAACAGCTATGGGATTATTTTTATCTCGGCTTGGTGCTTTGTAATTTTCGTCGAATATTTCTCAGCTTGCGGGTAAAAGGTTTCTCGGGAAATCAAAGAGAGGCAAAATTCTCAGGTGCTTCGGGGAAATCCATTCGAAATTCAAATGGGAATAATATTATTCCTCGACCCTCTACTAGAAATGTACCGTCACGATGTTGCATACTCGAGCTGTCATTTTTTAAACAGCATTTGTTTCCACGACCACCTGTTATGGTAATTGGATATTCATGCATGATTAAAGGGTTACTGTGTGTGCAGGCACGCCACGACTTTTTGTTCGCGTTCATTAATCTCGTTAGGTGACACACAATGGTTGGTGATGAGATTGAATCGAATTACTCACCCAGGTACTCCTCCGCTTTCCATATAGTTGGCAAGTGTGACGTCATTGCTCCAGACGTCGAATTGCCATTTTCTCAGTCCCAGAACACCACAATGCACCCTGCCTGTGTGGATACCAACCCTCATGTTCACGTTCACTGCACCTACCTCTCGATACAGTCTGAAAAATTTATGTCGTCGTTGTCGTCGTTACAAGGATACATTAATTGTCCACTGAAATGTTGCATTAATTTTTTCATTGTAGATTCTATTAATTGCCCCATTGTCTTTCATTGCAAATTGCATTATTTTTCTTATTGAAAGCTGAATTAATTTTCTCATTGCAAACTGCATTCATTTCCTCATTACAAACTGCATTCATTTTCTCATTGCAAACTGCATTCATTTTCTCGTTGCAAACTGCATTCATTTTCTCCTTGAAAACTGCAATTAGTTTTCATTATTCTAAAGTGCGTTAACTTTTCTCGTTGCAAAATGTAATAATTATTCCAGTGTAAATTGCATTAATTTTTCCATTGCAAATTGCATTAATTATTATTTATCTCGCTATAAATTTCACTTAAGCCTATGAATAATTACCTACGTAACAAATAATTTTAGTTTGACACCGTAATGAGGCTGCCAATATATTTGTCGTTGCTCTTTCTACGCTCAGAAAAGTTTAGCAAGTATTTAAAATAAATTGTTAATTAATTATTGACGGAATAATTCCTCCTGATTTGGATTGATTTATGTGGCAGCACCAGAGACTGTTATTCCACAGGGCAGAAAAAGCGGAATCAGAGAAACAGCTAGCTAAGGTTGCCTCGGCATCATCGTTAGCAATCACCGTCGTCTTTTTTTCGTCGTTTGTTTCCGCACTCGCTGCTAATAGATCGCGGGGAAGGGTGAGGGTGGAAGGAGGGCGGTAGTTGGTCGAGGAAACCATCTTAAGAGCCGGAAACAAAGTAAACGAGTCAAAGTAAAACGCGGACTCTCGAGGCGACTGTTCTTATATAACCCAGCCCCAGCCTCTTTCGTTAAAAAACGAGTCGCCTCGGTCAAAGGGGATGATTTCCTTGGAGACCTAAAAGACGGTCGAGAGTCGGTTCAGCGAATGCGAATGTCCCTGCAGGACAGTTCGATATCTAGATCCCCTCAGTCATGAATCATAGATCGGATGACATTTCGTCCGATTTAAAAATTCACAGATCATTTATTCTGTCACAGTTGGACAATCATATTTTATGTTGCGTGAAAAATGAATTTAGTTTCGTTCAATTTGTTTCGTACGTGTGACTGTCAGAATTTTCTAGATTTTGTAATTAATTAGCAGGATAGGTTTCATTTTTTATGAATTCAAATTATTAATATAGCAGGCACTTCAACTTCCCCTTTGGTTTTGGACAGACTCTGATTGCAATATTAATTTTTGTAAATATAGAGAGTCTTTAATATGTGATTATAGTGATAGTATTATATATATAATTAAATGAGTGTACTATAGTACTCAGAAGATGTTTCGAAAGCTCGTTCTAATCAGGAATATTTCTTAGAAATAAATAAGTCATATTTTGAGATAAATATATTGTTTGAGGTGTTAATATAAGATTGATGGATTTTCTTTGATAAAGAGTGATTTCTTTTGATATTTTCTTGGTGGTATCAAAGACCTGCAGAGTTCATTAGTTCCAGTTCTTCGGGATTGACCCGAATAAAGGTTGTCGATAAGCATAGGGGCATAAGGGTCACGGAAAGTCGTGAAAGCTGTGGGTAGAACGTTAAGTCAGCTCGACAGAAACTCACGTGATTGCGCTAATCATTTCCAAACCCATTTCCACACAACACCGAGCGTGATCGGGTCTCGGCTCCGGAAGTCCTGAAACGCAGTAGTAGCAGTCCCCTAACAATTTGATTCGTAGGCAGTGGTGCTCTGCCGCCAGTGTGTCGAACCTGCAAATTCGGAAACGCAACAATGTTTTTATTCGACAAACTTTTATGTAATTTCTTTCGACTTAATTTTTGATCGTATCAATTTAATTGATTGCAAGGGAATTGCGAGAGTGGCCCGCTTCACTTGAATTCGCGTCGACCATACTTCTTTCCCGTTAGGATAGAGTTACTCACCATACGAACAATTTGTTCAACAATCTGACTACCTCCTCGGCGGTGCATTGGTCCGATAACGATGTGAATCCGCAAATGTCCGCGAACAGGATGCTGTAAAATAGATTCTACGCTGGAATCTTCAGAGTCCGGCGTGTCTTAATGAAGTAACGAAGTTAATGGGAATTCGTTAGCGGATGTCGGGTGTCGGGTGACTTAACGAGCCACGAGTGCCAGGACAGGTGTTACTTCAACACATGATAGACGTGTACATCGCAACGCAGCATTATGCAGTTTCATATAACGCATACAGAGATTCTACACTTTTTCTCTAATTATTCGGCTCTCCGTTTAATGATAATCGGTCCTTAGCCTCAGGCACGTTTAATTTGTTCCTCGAAATTTGCTTCGGCGAAAATGATTTCCAGAAAATCGTGGTGTTAATAAAAATATCGATAACAATTTTCAGACAATCGCTGATAAAAATATTAAAAACGATTTTCAGAAAATCGCGGAATTAATAAAAATATCGAAAATAATTTTCAGAAAATCATAGCGCTAATAAAACTTCCAAAAACAATTGTTACAAAATGATTTATCATTTTCAAAAAAGTCTAACAGCATGTAAATGAATTTTTATTTTATATTGTAACAAATAGTTCCTTTATTTAAAAATTATTTTGTTCACACCATGATTTTCTCAACTTTTGGAAAATATTTCTAATCGACTATCATGATGTATATAGTCAATAACAATTTTTGTATCATTTCTTATTCTTCTTTAATAGTTCTCTCCGTCTAGCACAAAATTTGAGCGTGCGAAAAATTAGCGAAGCAGTTTTTTGGTTCACAGAACGCTTTAATCGAGCCTTCGTTGCTTTGTCCTTCCCTGACCCGTTTCGAAACAGGAGACCTATGGTACTATCAGCATTTCGTTCTTTTTTTTCAGAAATGCTCACCTGACGTTTTCGTGCCTTTGAATGTAAATTTTGTAAAACATAGTATCCTTCGGCTTGCCAGCGATGTCGGCTTTCATCTCCATGGCTACGTGCCTCGGCAACACGCTCAATAGAAGCCGTTCCTGAAAAAATCAGAGGAAATTCTTTGGTACACGCCACGGGGAACATAGAACGCAATTTTCCCGTACAGGTATGGGAATTTCGTGGCCGATGTCGAGCATGCTCCAGACATATGATTTTCGTCGCCGGAGAAAAATGCATTTCGCCATCTTCCCCGGCTCTATTCTATCAATTCATCCGATATTCAAATTGCAAGCTTGCGAAAACCTCTGACGAAATATTCTATAATCTTCAACACCATTTACGAGATTCTATCACCTCCAGACATTGTTGCGAAATATTTACATAACGTACATCGAGAGCAGCAAAATTATTTAGTGTATTAATTTGGTGACATAATGTTATATTAAAATATTTTTAACATCGGTAACATTTCTTCTGATACTTTCATATTTGTGGCATTATTGCAAAATACATGTTGCAGAATTATTTAAAATTAGAATCATCTGACATGTCGGTGGAAATAAAATATTTTTCTGTTCCAAATATCTTTCATGTCGAATGTTCCTATAAAGTTCCTACAGGATTTGCAACTTGATAAACTCGTTTTATTATTTTGCAACTGGAAAACAAAGTCGAGGACATGATTCGGTATGCCAGGTGTCTGGAAAAATCCGTTGTTATCCCCCACGGTACAATTCGGCAAGTTTTCAGACAGACGTGCTAGGAATCCTCGAATTTCCAATCTCGTCGCTATTTCGAACTCGGGCGTAATTCAACGCGAAAGGCTTGCAAGAGTATCCTTTGACAGCTCAATTCGAACGTTCCAACATCTCCCCATGGAGTTGATTCCGCTCGATTAATTTACATCGTGTAATTAGTAAATCGATTGCGATCTCGAGGCAGTGTTAGAAACAGCTTTCACGATTGGCTTATTCACTGCAGCATTATTGGATTTTCTTTGTGCGGTCTCTTGAAAATTTTCACTGGACATTGTATGGCCACCTGTGGGCCACATTCGTGCTTGAAAATAAAATTTACCTGAATGCAAATTCTTTGACAAATCCTTCTGCGATTTTCAATTCTAATTATCGAGTTAAATATGTATTATTCCATAGCGTAATTTAGATACTTAGATATTTAGAAATATTGCTCTAGGGTCTTTGGGTTCAATTTCTAATGACTATATGGACGGTTCAGAAGCCAATCGATGTAAGTCCACTTTTCTTCAAAAATGACTTACGTCTTGCAGACACATCTATGTATATTATAAGATCTTTCTGTCGATAAATCAGTGTAGTCGATTTGTTCATGAATAAGCAACATATAGCAGCACTTATATTGACCACGGAACGACTAAACAGAATAAGAATATTATAGAAATAAAATAATTAAATTAAATTAATCATAATGAAAATTGTGCTTCACATTATTAGTGGCAATGTTATTTGTTACAGCTAATTTGCAAAATCCTCAGTTACCTCAATTTTAATGTTAATCGACTTAGACCGACTGGCTTTCGAGCCGTCCAATATAATTGGTACGATTATTTTGGAGAATTCAATAATAATATCTGTGACTCCCTAATATTCTCCGTTACCGAATTGAATCCAAAGTGACAGCGCGCGAATCCTCTACGCATTAACCAATCCGGAATGATATGGCATTGCCTGGGCGAGCAACTGTTGTCGCAGTCGATCAATTCATCTTGCGTCAAATTAACATAGCATAGGGAGCTCCATTGTAATTTCCGGGTCCTTCCTGCAAGCACCTGTCCGACCTGGACTGACTCTTGTCACTGTGCACGGTCCTACGGGCCTATTGAATATTCCATATATTTACTGTTTGCCAGTCGGATGTACCTAACCAGGATTTCGTGGCTTCCGACCGACCACGGTTATTGTTCCAGGCAAACGATATCCTCTCTGTCGGAATTCCGCCGTGAAATATTTCTCAAATCGGAACACGCTCCTCGTATCACCTTTCTCCGGAGATTACTTGATCCCTCCCCTTTATTGAGAAATTTTATCCACCGCTTCTCTCGCCTGGAAATTTTATTAATGGACAAATATCTCCGCCATCCTTCTCAATTTTATTTAATTCACTGGTCAACCTGTGCCTCGCACCAATTTAATCCACCTGGAAATTTATTAGCTAACAAGACAATGGCTGGGCACAGATTTTTCTGCAATTTTTGTCATAGATAAATTTATTTGTGGAATAAGGATTTTACACAGAAACGAGAACAATGGAATAATAGTCCGAGAATTTTAGAATGAGGTTATTGTTGACTCACTAAAATGATTAAACAAACACGAAGTTCCTGGGTCTTGGAATTAATGGAGACGATTTTTCACTTTCTATAAAAATCTGCAGTCTATTTTTATTAGAGAATTTATGCTAGCTTCCCAGATATGAATTTTCAAAATTTGGAATGTTATATCATCGTCCATTGAAGTATAAAAATTTCCAATACAGGCACAAGTGTCTCATCACTGTCCCAGTATTCAGACAGAGATTTCTAGTATTCTTCTTTTATAATATATATTACAGAGAAAATTATTTTAACACTCCCAGGTATGAATTTTCGTAGATTAGAAAATTATATCATCGACCAATGATGTATTAAATTTTCCAAAAGTGTCCCAGGTGTCTCAGCACATTCTCAGTCTTTTAAAAAATATTGTCACAGTGCCGGGAGGAAGCAATTGGCTAGTCTTACGGCCGATTTGATTATTCCCTCAGTTCTCTAGTGCTGAATGGCTTCAGCCTTGGCAGACACAGGGGCTTAATTCCCTAGGAAATTCCATTAGCAGACGAAATTTCATTTCCCTAAGGAGCTCGTAAGCTAAGTCTCTTGGAAACGCGGGAAAATTCGTTCTCAGATTTTCCGAGGCTGGTGGCGTCTCATGTTGCTTTGAACAGAGTATCGTGTCGTGTTCGTTGGATGTTGCCAAGGATCAGGAGAGTGCCTTTTCATCTACACTCGATGATCATCGGTTCCCCAGCGGGCTTATCAGCCTGTAGTCAATGCGTTAGACAGCTCCGATTGAGCTTGGCAATGTCGATGCAGCTTGCTCCGTGAGCATACTGTATCGGGTAAGATGTGTCGGGATCATGCCATCGCGAATTATTAATCTTGCCAGCCGCTAGTCTTCCTCGAGGAAATTGTTGTTGCCTCCCTGAGCCGCCGGATGACTTTCAATTTGGTTGAAACCTTCGGACGGGAGGGCTTCAAGGTTTTTGTGAGGGCGCCTGTCTACGACAAATTGAGGGAAATGGAGGGAAATTACCGGTGTCGAGTCACATTTAAATTGAGTCTGCGTGGGAGGACAGACGGTCGTTTTTCACTGCTGGAGGAGTCGCGAGGAACTGGAACTATGATCTGGAATTTATATGCTGGGTTGATTGATCATTTTTATGTAAATATTGCGATGACAGTAGTCTTGGAAGACAAGATTTAAATTTTTAATATGTGACTGGTATTCTTAAAATGAGACTACAATTTTTTAAATAGCGCTGGAATCTTTAACATGATATTGAAACTTCTGAAGTAAGACTGCAATTTTTTAAATGAGGCTGCGATTTTTTATAAAATGAGGTAGGATTTTTTTTAACGTGACTGATCTTTCAAAAACGAAGCTGCAATTTTCAAGAAAATGAGATTGGAATTGTTAAAATGTTGCAATTTCTAAAATGAGACTGAATGATTATCGTTGTCTAGTAGCAGTAATTTTGCAAGTTGAAATTGCTGAAAGTTTCCGGATTAGGATTTATGAACCAGTGGAAATTGGAATCGGTGTCCAGAGAGGGTGTGGATTAATGTGTGATCACCTGATTGCGTTGTAATGTTCACGGGGTGAAATTGAGTTATGTCAATGGGGTGTGAGTGTAAGCGTTGTTAACTGGAATTCACATTGATAAATGAACAGAGGGACACGATGTTCTATGTAGTTCTTCGATCAAGGTGTCCAGCATAATTGGAACGATAATGACGCGCTTTCAATGTCCACATATTCTAACGTAATGCCGCTATTCTTATCCATTTGCTCATCAACGAATGGCAAAAATTACGTTGTTATGAATCCCTTCATTTTCTCAAAAATTAAAATTGCATCGCTTTGAATCCGCTCATTACGACCAAAATTAAAATTGCATCGCTTTGAAACCCCTCATTATCTCGAAAATTAAAATTACAATAGTACCGCAGCAATAAAGTACGCAACAGGGAATGTCCGTTTGACTTGCTCTCGTATTTTACGAGACACAAAATCGCCAATTAGCGACAAGGCGCGTAATTAAATACGAACGAAATATGTCGGAGTAGCATATCATTATGAGAAGCAATATCGCAGCTTTCAGCGTTATAATGCAAACAGTGATACCTTGTTAATCAAAACTGTGGGGACAGGAATTCCGCCGTGGGGTTGCTTGTTGAGTAAAAGAGAGAGAAAGAGGGAGAGAGAGTGTGTGATAGCAAAAGGGAGAGAGTAAGAGAGACAGTGCTGTGGTAGGGAGAGAAAGTGCATTCGTGCGAGTGCATGCACACGCGATTATATCGCGGCGTCAGGGAAACGTGGGCCGCGTTCGCCTGCAGTTCCGTGGCTTATCTTCGGGGCTCGCAATGCACACGCATCACTTGGTGCATGTGCATCCATAAACTCCTCCGCAGAGAACGGTTGTGTACGTTGTCGTCGTCCGGGTTTGTACCACACTCTCTCCTCTCTCTCTCTCTCTCTCTCTCTCTCTCTCTCTCTCTCTCTCTATCCCGACCCTGTCCTACCGTTTCTGCGAGATTACGTTCTGTGTCTATGCGGCTGTTGAATGCTCGCCAAGATGCATTCTAATGCAAATAAGACGGTCGTAGCAAGGGAGTCGTTTTCGCGACTGAATTTTTGCCAGATTGTTCGCTGCATGTTGAACATATCGTAGAATTCCTGTAGAGGTTCTGCTGATTTGTTATATTCTACGTATGTGCACGTTTCAGTAGCGAGAGTAGGCAATTTTAATTTGATAGGAGTTAGGAATGATATTTTTGTGATGTTATTTCTTCATTTTGCACACAAGTTTTTTCTTGACACTTTAAGATCTCTGATTGTAATAACGTATTGTCATAAGAGATATTACTTTAAATATTTTGTATTCTAAAAGTCCTAATTATATTCAGTTTGTACAACATATTAGAATCGTTATAAATTAGTGTACTTAATTAGGTATGTAAGCAGAAATGTTTGTAATTAGACGGGAGTGCGCGAGTGGTTTAGAAAGGGCTGAGGTGTCTCTATAGGCACACGAAAAATAAGTAAATTTGGTTGGAGTATTGTCAGACTAGAAGCAGTGGATTTGACGAGTAAATAATCAGACAAAAGTCAGTGGATTTGGTTCACTAATAATCAGACGAAAGTTAGTGGATGTGGTTCGTAAATAATCAGACGAAAGTTAGTGGATTTGGTTCACTAATGATCAGACGAAAGTTAGTGGATGTGGTTCGTGAATAATCAGACGAAAGTTAGTGGATTTGGTTCACTAATGATCAGACGAAAGTTAGTGGATGTGGTTCGTGAATAATCAGACGAAAGTTAGTGGATTTGGTTCGTAAATAATCAGACGAAAGTTAGTGGATTTTGTTCGCCAATAATCAGACAGGGGTCAGTGGAAATGGTTTGTCAGGAGTCAGACAGAGGCCAGTGGAAATGGTTTGTCAGGAGTCAGACAGAGGCCAGTGGAAATGGTTTCTCAGGAGTCAGACATAATCAGTGGATCTGGTTGGTGTAGAGTCAGACGTGCATCAGTAGTTTCAATGTGCCTGCTGTCAGGCTTAGTAGCAAGTAAAATGTGACACATCATAGCCAGACTTCAGAGACAGTAGTTTAGGTTCCTTCGTAGTCAGACCTATCAGTTAGTAGAATAGGAGACTTCAGTCAGGCATAGGAGCTAGTGATAGAGGCTCTGCCATAGTCCGACAATCAAGCTAGTGATGCAAGCTGTGCCATAGTCCGTCATTGATATGGGCTGTACTGTAGCCAGACACCTAGTGAATCAATGCATACCATAGCCAGACAGTACAGTAATTCAGTATACTTTCTATTCAGACATAACCCCTTATTTTTTATTATTATTATATTATTATTTAATAATTATTATCTTTTTTCTAATTAATATTTTTCAATTTCTTTTTTTTCATATGGCATGCAACATTGACTGTTAACTTTTAATTGCTGTCAATAAATACTTTAAATACATTTATTTCATAAAGTTATTTATCTGCAATCTTAAATCAATTAAATTTTCTTCAATCAGCTTCTATAATGATAATAATTGTTTCCTTTTATCCATTGCTGTGATTCAGATTGATTTTCGATTTTATCCAAACAATTGCTTCCAGTGTTTCTTATAAATCGAACAGATTGGGTCTCCGCCAATTCAGATCACTACGATCCAGTTATCTTTCCCAGTTCACTATGTTACAAATTATTGGTTCTGAAGTCACTTACCAAACGCAATCGCCGAAATGTACTTATTTTTCTCTTGAGGAAATAGGTCAGCCCCATCTACTTACTTTATTTATCAATAATTCTACGCTGCAAATTCCTTTGCCTGTTATTAACAGACTCCATATATCTGCTAAACCGTCTGTTGCATATTCGGTTCACGCAGTGTCTCGTAACCCTCTGAGTCCCAATTTGCATATTCTTTGCTCAGAATATTGCAAGCCAATTTGTATATGTATGCACCCAGTGCAGACGGACACGTAATGACGTCCAACTGATGAATCCCATTGGTAAGACGTTGTCAGGGGTGACCGGGCTGAGCTAAGGGGTAGTTTCGGGGTTGATGAACAAGCGGGTCTTGGACAGTGGCCGATCGCAATCGCGGCGAGTCACGGATTCTCGATTAAACCGCACAATGGACCTGGTCACGGGCTAGAACGTTGGAATTATAAGCGATCGACGATAACGCTATCTTTAATAGGCTTCCGCCGGCTCCTAACAATTATTTCGCATGCTCGCCGAAAATAACGCGACTTTGCACGACCGCTTACGGTACTCTCAATTTAATCGAAATATTTCCATTTATTCCACGACGTTCTATCTGATCTTTTTTTCTATTAGCCGTCGAACTTCGAGCTCTCGTTCCAGTTCACATGAAAATTTCATTTCAATCTAAAAGTTTGAATAACTCGCTCGAACCGATCTACTCTAATTTTTATTTCAATTCCGAACTTGAAAGTCCAGTTGCGAACTGCTTGCTATTTTCATTCCGAGCTACTATTATCGTTTCCTTTGGGTTCTAGATTTTCTTTGTAACTCTGCCCTTTTATATTATAATCTTTTTAGAATTTATAAAGCTATATTTTAATTTGCGCCTCAGCTTTAATACTGTATTTCTTTTCTTTTTTAGGGCTGTTAGACTGTTTCATATCACGAATGTTTGTTCATAAATTCTCGACAGTGTACACATTAACGTGATTATACCGTCGGTTCATTTCTGTAAAGTTTATGTCAACTGTTATCAGGTTTATGGTTCCTAAAGTTTCACTGCCTCTCGCGGCGGGAGTATAGCAATTTTTGCTGGCGAATTCATGAATGAAAATATTTAGCAGCGTTCACCATTTTTTATGCCGGCACGTTGTACACGTGCAGCGTTACATTTCCCATCGCTTTTGCGAAAACTTGTTGATCTCTGGCCGGATTTTACAATCCCACACGGTACTCGATCGTTCGTAATCGATGACATTTCGCGTTCCCATCGTTTTCCCCATAAATGGTGGGAGTCAAGAATTTCCGTGTCCTTTTGAATCAACGCCTACGAACTTGCCGCGAGCCTTGGGCATGACGAGAGAGAGAGAAAGAGAGCAAGAGAGCGAGAGAGAGAGAGAGAGAGAGAGAGGCAGTTCTCGATCTGTTTGCGAGTGGACCAGTTTGCACAACTTCAATGAAAACTGCGCGCGAATGCCGGCGGAACCGCGACACGGAACATCGCCGACGTCGTCACGGCCGTTTGATGTTTTCCGCGTCGCAAAAATTCCGGCGAAATCATTTCGAGCTCGCTGCACCACGGAATTCCCGTTCCGTGAAATGCGCTAATCGCCTGCCGTTTCTTTCTTTATTTCACGGTCGCCTTGAGTACTTAATTACTTCGCCATCTTGATCACACGATTCCGCATTCTAATTTATAATTAATCAGGACTCACTTTGTAGATTAATTATTTCTTACAAACCTTCATAATTTCTAAATGAAATCATATTAGGCAATTATGTGAGCCATGAGGCATTAAAAACATTATTTTATACAATTGTAGGATATTAATAATAAGAAAAACCATTCTTATTTTATCGTTAAATTCTTCATTCTTTAAAATCTATTTTTGACTCGATTGCTAAGTTTTGTTCAAAATAAAATGTTTTCCATTGATTATATAAATCGGAAGTTGGGTAAAAATGTATTTCTTCATGCGACTGTATTTTAGCATTGTTCTTGTGTTCTTCATTTATATTATAAATGCATAGAATCGACAGTTTAAATTGTAGGCTAATATTTCAAACAGAATTATGTCATCAAAATTATATAAAACATCCGTTATTTAAACTCCTGGAGTATTTAAATATTATACAGCTGTTGAAATTGATTTATTTTTGTAACTATGATTTACTGTATTAGTTTATAATATTTCTCATAGCTGGTGGAAATTTATTTACTGAATTTATTATATCTCGATTTATTATCGCGCTACTGGTGGTCCAATAAATTTTTGTCGATTTATCAGTAGGTATGGCAGTGACTCCACGTGGTCCTAGGTTACGCCATAAATAATTATCAGAGGCCATTAATTAACCAGATGCAGGACAAAGTGAAAGCTCTGGAAACTATAATGACGGGAATTCGGTTAGGTCGTTTCATCTACGTCGATCATAACTTCCCGGCTAAACATGTTACGTGTTCCCCGTTCTGGCGTCGATCTACTAAATTGAAAATTTTCGGTGGTGCACGATGCATGGGAAACATTCAATTTTCATCACGTTACCTTCCGAATAACGTGATGCTTTTTCTTCGGATTTTATTTTCCATGTAAACTTCGGCACTGCAGGCGTTCTCTGTTTACGCGGACATCCAAATAAATGTGTTTTGCATCGGAAGCGTTTTCGCACCAGAAGTAATCCGTTATTCCGCTATTCTACTCTGCTCGGAATATTTGCAAACTGTGTTATTCTTCCATCCTATCTATCGATGTTTTGCATTCCGACTTTTCAACGCTTTGGTGAAGTCACAAATGCCATAATTTACAGGCCTTCTTCTGGCAGAAAGCTGACACGAGTGAAATTAACGTTCCGAAATTAGTTACTAATTAAAATACATTCACCTTTAATTTAGTCAATTAAACGATGTAGATTCAGTTACAATATTCGCCTTAAAATTCATAAAATGATATACAGATTTAAATACGGTCCACTGTATCTCTGAATTTAACTCTGAAATTTATTGTTCTGTAATATATTTCGACGAGACACCTGGAAATTCCTTATGAACAACTGCTATAATTTCATATCTCGCGGCACTTTGTGCAGTCATTGTCAGACGGGAATGTTCAACGTATAAATATTGGAGCCTTTGTGAAGCGTAAGCAACAACGAAAACCATGACGTCGTTTCATTATTCCGCCAAGGAAAATGGGGTTGTTTCCTTGGCTATCAAGGATTTATGACATTCAAGGTGTACGCGTACCTGTTGCTGATTCTCCCTCTGTGTCGTCAGGCGTGCCTCGACGCATTGTCTCGTTTCGAGGAACGCTTGCCTTTGAGCCAGTTCCCTAGGGTGGTGGGTCAGGACACCTGCCATATTCGTTCCGCCAACCACGACAATAGAACTCAGTAACTGAAACAGAAAAATTTACCTTGCTTATGGTACTGTCGTACGTCACGAATTCTATCTTGTGACTTCTCGGTGTACTGTACTTATTTATACATTATTTACAAGATAACAGGGTGACATGGATCTTGCTATACTGACAAGGGATGTACAATTCTTACTTCAGTTGTAACTGTAGGATTAACAAAAATAGTCTAAGCTTTAAGTTCAGTTAAAATTGTTTTGGTAAAAATAGGGGTGGATTTATGTTAACCGAAATTGGGGTGGCTTTCATTTTTTTCAAAATAGTGATCTAAAACAGTGGTGGCTTTCATTGTAAGATAGTAGTGATTTGGAGTGATCTAAAAACTGTGGAACCTTTAAGAGTATTAAAAAACAATGATGGCTTTGAATCCCCTAAAAAACAATGGTCGCTTTGAAAGAGTCCTACAAGAATAGTTTTAACCTTAGCTTGTTCTAAAATAGTGATCGTTCCATCTCTTGAAAAAATAATAACAACTGTAAAGCTAAAATAGCATGGCTCATAAACACAGGCAGTAAAATGTCCACGGTTCGATTGAATAAGAAACAGAGCTTTGTTTAAAGGTGACGAGTGGAGACAATGGCTCGTCTGTAGAGTTTCCGATACTGTGGAAGTCCTTCATTGGTTCCGAGTCAGAGGTAGCAGCGCCGATGGTACGCGATGGGGTTGTAAACAGAGAACTTTTATCAGGGTCAGTCCTCAGGCTAAAAGGATCAGGGATCGGAGTCGGGAAACTATAACAGGGGATTATCAGAGTAGTCCGAGAGGGTTGCTGGAAAAGCAGGATAGTTACCGAGGGTAGGTATCTCCTCAGCCAACACATGGGTTGCTAAGCTCTGGCTTTCGTAATTGCAACTAATTCAATCTTGCCCTTTGCAGTCATTTTGGATTCTCGCGTCGATATTTATACGAGAATTTTCGCATCAATAATAATTATCTTGTTCAGTGTTCCTTTCAGATTTGAAATTTATATTTTAATTTATAGAAATAAGTTTATATATTAGATGCACTCTTTCGTTTTGGTAATTTAGTTACACGAGTTGCAGAACGTTGGTTCCATTTTTTTTTAATTAGCTGTTCGTGTGTTAATTTATCAACAATTTTTGGTCGAAGTCCTATATTATCCCGTAGGTGTTTTCTTCTCTTCATGTATTCAGTATATTGTAATTATCGATCACTATTCTATTCAATAAAAGATTGACTGGTACGTTTAGTGTAGGGTGGTGCCGGCACAGTTCACAAATTAGGGGTGCCGAGATTGATTTCCTGGTCGGCACAGTAGGCAGTCCGAAATTGCCAACAGAAAAGTCTAGCCAAGCTGGTCAAAGGACCGGGTTTATTGAGTTTGCGAAGTCCGTTAGATGCCGATGTGCAAGTATACTAATTGCGGCGCCCTGGTCTAATTAAACTGACATCCCCAGTGAATAGGAAACACTTAGTACGCTTGTAACACGGCTCTTTGATCTAACTTGAAGGCGGTCCTGCCAGGCCGATGACGGACACTCCCTTGGCCCCTTCTTACCTGTCATGATTTATTAATCATGCCACCGTTTGGGGTCCATCGGAACCATACGATGCTCATTAGTTATTCAAGCCAATATTTGCCCGGTCGTGTGGCAGATATTAACAATCCCAAAGGATCAAGCATTAGGTTGATTCGGGGCTGTTAATTAATAACCAATTAATGGACCATCGATCCTCGCTGTACGTAGGGTTTGCAACTTAAAATTGAACAATTATTTAATTTCTTCATGGATTTTAGTCCTTTTCCTGATTAATTGTTATTCGGCTAGTTGATCTATTTGCAACCACTTGTAGGATCGTCCAATTCCTTTCAGAGCTTCTAAGGGATTTTATACACTTCGTTTGGCGTGCCAATTAGGATTTTTCTTCGACAGAAAAATCTTCTCAAGTGTCTCACGCAAGATACAAATATTATTCTTTGCTATTTATATTGTAATTTATAGTGGAAAAATGTATTTAGACTTTGTCGGTACCGTACCCTATTTCGTCCATGGATAATTTTCTCGGTGCTTTCGAGGTGAGAAACGATGTTCCTCTTCAAAGGATAAAATTGAATAAGAAAATTCATTTTCTGGTCGAGGGGGTTATGCATAATCTACCGGGTATAAAACATCAAGACCGATTAGCCAGGTAATCGCAGAGGAAGCTGTCGGTGAATGATTAAAACCGTCGGGAGTTAGCTGGGTAATTATTCAGGAATTCTACGAGATTATTCGTTGCATTATGCACGGGACCACTTGCAGCCGAGTACGTTTTCACGTCTCGCAGTCAAATTGCAATTTGACCTACCTGTTCCTACCTATCCAACTCGGGCCAATTAATTATTTAGATTGCTGGATCTTGCATTAACCTCGGGATGATCTGTTTCGGATCATCCGATGACCTCGATTGTGTTAAATCCTCGTATCAAGAAAAATATACGCGATATACTGCAATGCATGTCTCAGTCTTCCAAAAATAGCTGGCTTCATTTATGATTCTGATTTTTAAGTTAGTAAAATGTTAAATATTACAGCAAGTAATATAAAATATTAAGTTTTTAAAAATATTACAGTAAATAATATGAAATATTAAAATTATTAAAAGTATATTTCTGCAAATATTCTAGTATATTGTCTTCAGGAAGTAAAATTAATTGGGATCAGAATAGTTATCAAGTTCTTTTCCCATCCCTTTTCCCATCTCCACAATTCTTCTTATATTTTTATACCCGACTTACGGAGAATTTTTAAATCTTAATTCAACAGAATTTATGAAGTTATTTGTTGCACTAAATATGGAGATCGTTAACGCTTTTCTCTTTTTCACGCTTTTACCTGCGGTATCATATTTTTGATGAAACCAATATCCCTGAAACTCGAGGATTCGTCTCGGTTAGAATGTCTCTCTGCTTTTGCCAGTGTGAAGATCGACTGACATTTGGCTTCCATTTGGCAGAGTGCTTTAATCCGTCGTAAGTTCTGGCAAGATTCAATAAACGACCCAACGGAATTCATGGCTGCCCTGATGTTCAATAGGATGTTACTTAAACCGGGACAACTTGACGAGTTGTCTGCAGTACATCTTGCCGACTGTTACCAGAAGTTTGTGTCTTTTACGTGAATCGTGCCTTCGCTTGACGCCGTGATGCATCCCGGTGATATTTCCCCGGAACTTGGTTATCTCCGAATGAGTCGAGTGCCTCCTTAGTAGCAAAAGCACTGCTCCACTCGCTCGCAATCATTTGAAATTTTTTCGTCGGTGCTTTTAGGACATCCGAGCGATCGATAAAATTATCATATAGAGCATTTCGTGGACGAATCGATACTCTAATTAAGTCGATCCCATCTGTATCTCATTTGCATTATCGAGTACTATCTCGCTAATTGCTTGAGGAAGTTTTACTACTCCTGGTGGTCAGATTTTACTTTTTTGGAAAGACTGCAGTCTTTTGAATTTCGCTTAATTCGTTAGCACAATTATTTCAAGATTTCTCATTACCTGCTTCGATAATTTATCGATGAAGATAATTGTATTTATTATACTCTCGCGGACAAAGGTGGATGCCTTTTAAAACAGGTTAACATTGTGAAAACTGGACCAGATGAGTTGAAGTTTTCTGAGATGTTAGAAGAACTAGTTTGCTAGACAATGTTTAAAAAAAATGTCAAAGGAATTAATAAATCACGTTTTTCGATTTTGTAATATGTCCGCATTAAAAATTTGAAAGAACTAATTTATTAATTTGATTTTGTCATTCCATCCAGTGGCTATTTCTTTTTTAAATTTTACACATTGTAATAATACAAATTAGTCCTAACATCACAAAGAAATTCAATTCGCTTGATTCAATTTGAAAAAAGTTATTCCATTTGCCTGAGTGTATTCTACGTGAGTTCAATTTTGGAAAATGTTTCGGAACGACACTATCTATCAGGGGAGACAATGTTAATGCCAGAAGCGAGGGACGCGGACGTTTCGGTGCTTACGCGAACGTCTACCATACCCTGCATTCGATGCTGCTTTTCTGATCGCATATCCGATCATGTTCCGCCACTGTAGATCCTTCGCTTCAAACGCCAATTGAATCTTCCGGTTCAATGATCGCAAAATGTTTCGATCTTTCCTCTCGTGTGCATCCACCTGTGCATCAAACATAAGCCTCCATTTTTATCACCACCCGTCGCGATTCGCCGGCAAGGTGTGTGAGAAATATTGAAATATTTATCTGAAATATTGCTCGCTTGTTTTTAACATTTTACAAACAATATTTAACGGTACAGCGGACACAGTCTCATCGTTAAACCCGTGCTCGAAAATTCAGCGAATCGGATTCTCGTTATTAATTGGTTTTAGAACAGTGATGGCTTTGAGTCGCGGAAGCCATTCGAAAATAGCGGTCCGTTTAAAATTCATGCAAGAATAGCGAAGACTTCGAGTCCTCTAAAAATTGGGGTGAGTTTGAAAGTCTGACAAGAATAGTGGTGGCTTTAATTGGTTCTAAAATAGTGATCGTTTTGAATCGTCTTAAAATGGAGGTGTCTGCAGTACCAGCACCGTGAGAAATCAAATTATTTATCCGAAACATTCCTGGCCTATTTTTACCATTATATACAAACAATATCGAACGGTGCAGCGGACACATTTTCGTTGTCAATCGAGTGCCCGAAAATTTAGCGCATCGTAATCTCGATATTAATTGCATTCTTGCGTTTGGTTCCCATAATTCCAGCAATTCCATTTCTATCGTTAAACGCGTTCGATTTAATTGAATTTCGGCGACATGGAATTTAAGTGATGCACATCAACCATTAATTCCGGCCGTCCTTTATCGATGGATTCCATTAATTTTATCGGGGATTCCGCAAAATTTTGTTATACGACTGCAGACGAAACGGATGTATCCCGTTGCAAATTTTATTTACATTTTCGGAATTGTATTACGCTCTGTCGATGCTGGAAACGTGTCAAAGGCGGCGCG